TAAAGACTTTTAAACAACGAACTACTGACTAAAGTCTTTGAAATACGAACATTACAATACTCCTAAGTTTTAATTTTTACTCTGCACATTTTTAAATAAATCAGATTTTATTTCAAGTCTATTTTACCATATTTTATCCTTTTTACCTTAACAGTATAACTACTTAGTGGTATACATGACTAAAATAATTATAAATCTATATAATCTACATATTCATATCTTCATTTAAATATAGTTTTAGTATTGTATTAGTTATATGTATATGTTATAATTGAAACAGGTTATGTTATACGGAGGCTGTACTAATCAGCTTCAGTTATTTACATAACACGAACTTGTGGAATGATTAAAAATATCGATTCAAAACCTACTAACATCTTGGATTCCGCAAAAAAAAATCAAACTGGTTTTAATGGAAGGTTGTTATGACTTTTTTACTAATCTCGAATAAGATACTTATTGTTATTCTAACAAAATGAGATTCAACGTGAGCTTCAAAACACATAATAAAAAACGATTACCAAACAATTAAGGAATGGATAAATAAAGATATTAAAAAATGAAGTATTGTGATCAAGAAATCATGCATCAAAAAGCCGGAGCAAACTTATATTGTACACATTAATAGTACTCCGCAAACTTAAATTTTAAATCTTTTTATTATTAGAAATAATGAGATTTACCGTCTTTCATCAAGAATACATAAAATGAATAATAAAATACGTAATTTTAATTACACCATAAAGAACGCTGCAGGATATTTTTAATAATAATTCTAACAAAATTCTAATTAAATATTCCTGTTTTAAAATATGTATATGCAAACGCATCAATATTTTAATGACTCATTACGTTTAATTTTAAATTGGTTAATGATAAAATTCTAAAACGACTTAACTAATTAAGATCGTCAACATATATTTTACCTAGATACCTTAATTTTGAAAAATATAAAAAAAATAACAAAAACTTAAAATTTATTAGAGTATAATATATAAATGTAATAGTTACCAAGGTTTTTTTTAAATCCGGATCAATTCCATAACACTTTACTTCCAAGATAATAAACTAGTGTGGGTGAGGATTAACTATAATGCGCGTGCGCGTCTCTTTAGTAACATCTTCAGACTGAACTCAGAAGGTATGAAACTTGACATACACTGATATTACACTGTAATTTCCTTTGAATAGTAATAATAACTTATTATTAAAATTTTAGTTGCAGATTGAATGAAGTCGGTAAAGTTTTATAAAATTTTTGGTGCTTAAACAAAAGGTGAAAATCTCTCATAGATTTACGCCACTAACTGATACTTATACCTAGAAAAAAAATATATAGAATATTAAACTAACCATAATAAATCTATAGCATATCAGTATTGATTTACGATAATCAATGCAATGATTGCGTTATCTAATTCTGAAGAACCAATGAACGAAAATGCTTTGTGTGGTGCCGTGACTCCTTCAGCAATAGATATGGAAAGCGATGCAATTTTTTACAGATAACATTAGATAAATGTTTGAAATGATAATCATTATAATGCATACCCTCTCACAAATTTTTAAAGCCAAGAAAAAGATTCGCGTTCAGTCCTTGGCTATTACATTAAAATTCCTCGTAAATGAAGTAATTTTTACAATAGTGAATATAAAACATTATATTAAATAATATCAAACTTAATTGAAATTAATATTTTCGGATTTTCTACGCGAATTTTATTTTTGATCCTATAAAATACATACTCGTCAGGAGTACTAGTACATATTTTGGCTACTTTACAGCAATCGTGATCACGGGCAGACGAGATGTGAGTGTCACATCACCTAATAAATCCGAAAATATTAGTTTCATTTAAATGAGTACTCGCGAAGATCTTAGATCTCATAATATAAAACTTATTGTGCTTGTTTAAAATGTGTGTAACAATGGATTTATAAATAGAAGACACACCTTCAAATTTTGTTGGTGTTAAATTCTATGAATATAATTATAACTTGTTGAATATTTTAAGACGATTTGAGAGCTAAAAAAATATTTCCATTCTTTTTATTTGTTACATGTACCTATAATGTATATACATATGTACATACATCCAACACAAAGTAAAACCTTTTACTCTCTTATTACAATACATGTATGTGCAATATTTTTATTATTCTTACCAGGGATAGACAATATGTAAATCCTTTCATCACAATAATAGTTTAAGATCACATTCAACTGTCATCCATTATTCACTTTACTCGTAATTTTGTTGTTAGGTAGTATGTGGGTACTATTGTATATACTTTTATGGCACATACTTTATCACACCTGTTCTTCTATAAAATTAATCTCATACTTGTATGTAAGTTTGGTTTTAGTTTGGTCAATCAAATATCAATTAAGTCAAGACGCCAGATTTAAATAATATTTCTATTGTGAATAATTTCATAATTCGAGGTCGAAAGGAAGTCCTATGGGTTTTGATTTCCATACAACTATTAAAAAATACGTAATTAGCTAAAATTAGCTTTAAAATTTAGAGACTCCGGAAATTTATTTATACTCAATTCTTATAATTACGCTGCTCCTACTTATAGTGGATGAGAATAGGTAAATCTCGAAATTTTCTGAGGTAGGGTGTTTGTCAGAAGAACAGGCAGACACCATTTAAAATTTAGATATTTAAACTTTCGAAACGAAACTTAAATTAACAAAACAATGGTTCGTGCTATATGGCAAATACATATTTACTCTCGCTAAAATTTTTGTACAATTTGATTTTTAACCTAAGTACTTAGGCACTAACAGTTTTAAGCTAGCTTAAAATAAGGTATTGTTTGTAAGTATTATTTTTTCATAAATAATACAATGGTATATTATTATCAACTTATCTTTCCCATGACCGTAAATACATTGAAGACAAATACATAATTATAATTAAACAACAGGTACCCCTTAGTGCGAATTAAAATCCTTCAAAAGCTATATCCGATTTGACAGTTGGAACGATTGAAAGGATCAAAAAACCTGATTTAAGAATAACATTTTTTATAGTTACATTTAATCCATCTAAACGAGGCTATCACGTTTATGAGGATATTACAAAGACAAATATTTAAGACACAGTTAAGACTTGTAAAAATAAATTAGGACTGAACGACCTTATATTGGCAAATTAAAATAAATTTTCCTTCCTTAAAAGAAAAAATGGACATGCAAGTCCGACTTGCAAGTCCAAGGTTCCCGTCGGATAAACGAATTATAGTGACAGTTTAATTGTTATTAGTGTGTTAATAATCTATTACAAAAAAGTACCAAACCATAATAATGAGAAATAAATTTGCTCACACCGTAGAAAACTGTTTCCACTACAACAACATTCGCTGCAGTCTCATTGTTTATAGGTGTCTATTAAACAAGCATGTTTTGAAATTTAAAAAAAAAATCATGGTTCTCGGAAAATCTTCTCTACTTGTCCGGACGTAGTACTGTTTCTTTGCAAATTTCAATATTCTAGGCTGCCTAATCCACTTATTTTACTATATATATATATTAAAGCAAGTTCAAACTCTAAAATTTGAACTGGCTTTTCTTCGGAATGCGTTGTAATAATGTATTCTCTAGATTAGAAACAAATTAGAACAAATTGGAGCTAAATGCGTTATTGATAATAATCAGACGCTAAATCTTATAAAGACTCCCGTCATATCGTTTTACAGATGTTAAATTTAATTTTACTTCTTAATGGATCCATATACGTCTGGTATTTACAAAAGTTCTTAATGTATTTTTGTGCATCTAAGGACATTTAGACATTATTTGTAAATACATCCTGAGTGAAACCTAGCTGGAATGCTTCAATATTAAAACTATCAATTTGGGAGTTTTATTATATAATGATGTGGGGGAATTGTAAATTAAAAATTACTTTTAAATATTATCACTAAAATAATGTTGTTATTAAGAAAAACGAATAGACTCTTTTTCCACGACTTTTAAAGGCATATCAAGTATTTTTGTTACATCTAAGGTTGTTAGCCCCTACTATTTTTGTATGGACCTTGGCAAAGTGGTTTGATATTGAATAATAAAGACAAAAAAAAAATACAGGAAATTGCTGGACGTACAAACTTAACCTAGAACATGTCCTCTCAACATGCCTTTTTAGATACATAGGAATAGTAGGTTCTGTATCTACATTGACAGTGTGCACTTAAAATATGTATGAGATAAGACCATATATGATTTAATCCTTTCAAGGACGTTCTAAGCGAAGGTTGGGCCTTTTATAGGCCCTTCAGACCTGTATTTCAAGAGTTAGAATTACCAGGCAGTGATTAAGTCAAATCAAATATGTAACACTAACAGCAATGGCCAAGTCGGAAGAAATGTGACGAGTTGGACGTAGATTAAAATAACAGCGATTCAATTTGTCATAATTTTATTAGTTTTTATCAGGTAAAGGCTGATTACATAAGGATGAAACGTTACTAACCTGTAACACATTTCTATTGTTATCGATCGGTCGAGTACGAGCCGGTCTGTCCTAACGTAACAAGGTATTACAATTCGTTTGTTGTCATGTCTACCAATCAACTCGGTATAATAAAAAAATATAGATACAATTACAATTATTGCCTAAAATCGTCGAATCAAATCAATAAATAGTCATAAGTCACTAAATTATACGGACAAAATTGCGTGACCGGTTAATAGAAGGCGATATAAATAACGCGCGCTACATCTTCGGCGAACCATGATGGATTACGATTTCGATATAAGATCATTATTTAACTATTACAATTACCTTGGCTATCTATATAACTCGAAACTTACATTCCGTTCGCTGAGCGTCGAGTGCACACTCACTGCGAACACCAACGACGTGCACTCACATGAGTGAGCTGTGTGAGGGGAGGGGGAGGGGGGTATTTCGAGTGTGTGACGTCATCGGAGCGATCCGTCGTCACGGACCATATAAGTCTCATACAAAAGTAAAAACCATATCTATCTAATTCTCGTCGTAGAGCGGTGTCGCGTCCCCTAACGACATAGAGCGCGGCGACGTGTTCGTGTGTGGCGTGGAACGTGCTGAGTGCGAGCGTGACGACCGGCCTGAGGACGTGTGGCCGTGTGGCGTGGCGTGTGGCGTGCTGTGTGGCGTGCTGTGGACCGACGAGCGGCCGTCGTGACGCGGTGTGCCGCGTGAGTCGTGGCGGGGCGTGCCGCGGGCGTCGTGGCGTGGCGTGGCGCGAGCGTCGTGGCGGGGGGTGCGTGTGGCGTGACGCGGGGTGGAGGTGCTCTCGTCGCGGGCGCGGTGACGCACCCAGTCTTCCGCCGCCTTCTGCCAGTCCGATGGCTCGGTGTACACGGAGGGTTGTGGTTTGTGGCGAGGGATGGCTGGCGTCAGGAAGTCCGGCTGGCGAGGCGTGGTCGCGAAGGGCGTCATGTAGGGAGTTTGTGCAGATGGAGTGTAAGGAGTGTTGATGTATGCGGGGCCGGGAGTGTGCGCGGGTGTATGGAAGGCAGGTGTGTGCGCGGCGGGCGTGTGGTATAGAGCAGAGGCGAGCCCGTGAGGCGTCCTCAGGGCGGGGGTGCGGGTCACGGGGGTGCCTGATGGCGGAGGCTCCCGGAAGTGCTCCTTAAACCATTTGAGCAAACCGCCGAGGGAGTCGAACATCCTCTGTCTAAATTTATATCCGTCCGGCGTCACCGATATATACTCGTGTGTACACCTGGCCCTGGGAAGATACGATAGGAGGAATCTTCCGGGATGGTTCTTGGCGGCGGATATGACGTAGTGTATCTTATTGGGATTCTTCGACTTCTCGTCTTTGAGAATCTCTTCAGCCTTATCCCTCATGCCGCCGAGGTTCTTGTAGTATTTGTAAGCGATGAGATCTCTCGCATGGCCCGCCATGGGTGTAACGTGTCTCGCGATAATTTCATCCAAGTCTTCAAACTCTGATCCTTGTATCCAAAGACTACGACCTGAACGCAAAAAAACAGATCAATATTTTCTATCTATAGTCTATACATAACATATGAGGAAATAAATATAAATGGTAACTAATACACACCTAAAGAAAAGGCATTCTCTTTGCCCTCTTCCCGCACGTCAATGTGCTGGCATATACCGTCTGCCACCTTCCAGGTCACTGTCAGGTGATCAGAACCCTGCAATATTTAGGATTTGGAATTTATGCCATCAACGCTATTAAACAAAAAATTTTGCAAACAAAAAATAATGACTATACTGGACTATAAAAGCCATAATGCATGCATTGACTTTGGACTATTATATTACCTTACTACTAGGCCTAACTATGACTTCCCCTTGTGCCATATTCTCCATGAGTTTTTCGGCTTCAGCGAAACTTATATTGTGGAATGCTGGGTGTACTATAACTCGCTTCACATACTGCATCCGCTCCTTTGTCTGCTTAGCCTCTGTATCTTTTCTGACATCCTTGTCCTCAGATTCTTGATCGTAGTAAGGATCTTTTGGTGGTCTGAAATCAATACAATAAAATTATTATTTAAAAAAAACCATTATGTATAATGTTGGCAATTTTTTGTAGAAAGCGCTTAAGGATACCTCTAACGTTGTCATCAATACTTTGATATTGAAAGGATGACGTATAGAACGTTTACAACTCTATAGGAGATAGGAAAATGAGGGAATTTTCGTCTCTCTCTCAAGTAATAATTTAAAGTTTAATAGACAAATTGGTACTATATCCAAAGGACTGGGTAATAAACGAACTACAGTCGTTTGACTACAGTTACTTACATCTTAAATATAAACATTAGAAAATATTAACTATTAACTATAACTAACCTCCACTCATTATTTTTATCCAACAAGTCAGATGATTTAGAAGAACAATCTACTGAGAATCTTTCAACATCTATCTTTAATATCCTGCAATGTATGGTTTGACCTATTCTGACTCTTTCCGTGGGGTCAGTCACATGTCTGTCTGAAAGGTTCTTTATATGTATGTAGCCTGAAAGGCCATTATCTAATCTGACTCTAACCCCCGTCGCTTGACCCGGACATGCGCCTGCGTCGAAATGATTCCATACCTGCAATTAAGTAATTGATAGTAAATATACTATATTAAGATATTTCTTGGATTACAATACTTATTTCTTGTAATTGTATTGCTATTTATATGATACCAAGATAAAAAAATAATTATTTGACTGATGTCAGCCTAGAAGCGGCTGAGGTGTATGTTATTTTCAATGTATGGTAGAAAAATTTGTATCACTTTTTATAATGGAAAAACTTGGAGATAATTAATAGTTGTATATGGGAAAATTGTGAACTTTTAATTAAGCAAATATATATTAATTTAAAAAATAGTTGGAATAAAAAATGTACAGAATACAGAGTTGTTTTCGTGACTGAAACTGTTATAAAACGCTAAACATATCAGGGTTTAAGTTTAATTCTAGTGTTTATACAACTATAATCACTGACGTGTGATGCAATTTATTAGCAAAATTTCATTTATCTACTTGACTACCTGTATAATAGAAACTTAATAAAGCCTTACTTTAAAGACGAGTTTAACTTGGAATAACAAATTTAATTTTGTTAAACAATGAGAGTATCACAATTGAAACTATGTTGGTAACAAGGTATTATTAAATACTTAATGCATTATGATGTGATATCTATATAGAGTAACATAAAACCAAAAAAAAATAAACATTAAGGTCTCTCACTTTCAAAAACAACACAACGTTAAATTTGGCTTTTAATATTAAGTACAAGCAACACTTAAAGAAAAAGAAAGAGATATTTAAAACACATTATATATTACCTCAGAGAGTTCGGGAAAGTCGTTTTTATGACAGAAGGGACATTCCCACAATCCTGTCTCGTCATTTCTTACTGGATTCGCCTGATCTAACATTTCCCTTTGAGGTTTCCTATGCGAGATCCCTATGACAGTCGCCAACACCATTTTACCCACATACAACGTTTCTGGAGTCTCTTTGGTCAACATATCGAATAATTCCTCTGGTGTGGGCGATCGATATGCGACTCTAAGATCTTTGTATCTAGAGTTCAATTCGGCTCTGATGTCGTATAGCGTTATACTCTTATTACCGAAGCCCTGCCTTTCTAATTCCTCAGCGAATGCGTCTAAGTCCAAGTCTTTCAACCGTTCGGGCGCTTCCAGAATCTCCTCTAAAGCTCCGGCGGGGTTTGCGTCTTCGTCCTCATACTCCAAAGCGTCTACCGCCATTTTTCTCGCCCATTCATACGTTTCCGGATGAACTCTTGAACCGTCCAATACCTCTATATACGCTTCCGTACTATCACCGAGACTGCTTGTATCGATCCTTATAAAACCGGAACAATTGATGAATACTTTCGGTCCCATGTGACAGACTGTGACCAATTGAGTTCTATTCTCTAGCTTCTGATTAGTTTGTTTGAATAACTTTATCAAAGCCTGAGCCTTCCTCGGTCCTAAACCACAAACAAACTGTAGTAATTCCGTCCCTCGACCGGTTAACACCGCTTCATTAACATCTACACCGACTTCATTAATCCTGTTTACGAATTCCAACTCGATTCCTTCTAACAGATCCTCTTTAGCTAATTGGTCTTGCAGCGGATGGTATCGTAGACATAATATTTCCTCATCTGGTCCACACAGCTGAGAAATCTCCATCAAAGGATCTTGTAACAGGCGCGCCTGACAAATCGCTTGCCTTAATGTTTCTGGATATTCTCTGAAGTCATTCTGAAAGAAATATAATTCACATATTTTACTATCATTTTTCTCATCAAATATACGTTTTTTACGAATCAGCACAAAAGCATATAAAGTAGTACAATTAGTATTAAAATCGACTGAAATAAATTAACTCCACTTTTAATCGCGTATAATAAAATTTAAAAACTAGTGAAAATTAAATTATCAAAATTTTATAGCATATGAAAAATACGCTTAATTTCGTATAATCACTGATTGGTTACATTAAAATAGGTTAGGGCAGGGCGAAAAAAGAATCAAATAATCACTCCTAAGTCACTAACCCCTTTTCAAAACCAGTAAAGAATCAAATAACCCCTCCCAAGTCACTCCCCCCTTTCAAAACCAATCTATACTGACCCGTCCTCTTATACTATTGCTGTATATCTTGCTGATCGTGTTGTCAGCTATCTCGACCGGTATCCTCGGGAACTGTTCGTCGTCCACCAGCTGCGCCACACACTCCGCGACGTCCGCCTTTATTGACAACGCCTCACGAGACTCGCCGCCGATCACGATCACGTGGGGCTTCTTACGCTGGATGAACCTGGAATTATTATGTACATGTACTATAGAAGTGTATATATAGTATATTAGTATTACTACATATATATTATCGAAGATAATATTGGAATCATAGAAAACATATAACCAACTCTCTCTATAAATGATACTTAGTGATTTTTGTCAATGTAACGAAATTTTAGATACCACTATATACAAATAAAGAATTCCATAGTACATATAATGAGGTCTAAGAATTTAACGAGTCTTATTCTTTAAATTAAACCAATTTTCTTAGAATATACTACGCGTGCTTCATATTTATAAAAAATTACATACTCCCGACGTTTCGACTTCTTTTCAGCAACCGAGCGGACGAGATATGTTAAATAAATTCCATTCTATGTTCCCCCCTAACTCCTACTATATTAACTTCTTCTACCTGGCAATTTCCCAGCTATAGCCAGGGTCTGCCTTACATGTTGTGGATAGTTTAGGCTATTTGTTTTTACGATCGGCCGTCTGCCTGACATCAACTCTCTTTTGGGAATCAACATTAATCAGTGATGTCTAAATAGTCTTAGAAAGTACATATGATTCGGAAAAATCACATTGGTACTTGCTCGGGCCAGGATCGAACCCGCGCATTCGTGCATGAGAGGCGGGCCTTTTAACAACTAGGCCACCACTGACTCTCCTACTATATTAACTATCTATGTATCAAGTACCGCCTGAGCGCCGTCATATCAGACTCCTTGTTCCGTCTCTCCGCCGCGTCCCACGCGTTCCTCCTCAGCAGTACGTGCGGTAGTCTCAGATGGTCGACCACCTCCCCGGCCGACGCTACCACCGTCGCGAACGCGCACTGACTCCGCTCCGGCACGTAGGCGATTGACATCACACGCAGACCTTATATGTAACAATAGAGATGTGTTCAGTACTGTGTGATAACTTTTATGTTATGAAGTATAGTTTTGTACATCACATTACATGGAGACCTTATATGTATGAATAGAACATGTATTCAGTACTGTGTGATAAGTGATAGCTTATGTTATAGTGTAATTTGTACATTAGTTTTAATTTTTCAAATATTACAGTACTGCATAGTTTTATAATTGATAAATAAATTATACAAACCAGATTTATATACTAAATTTTTTTTACAAAAATGTTGATGTACACTTTTTAGATCACATAACATTAAATACAATTTTGAAAAAAAAAAGCTATAATAATTTAACAAATCAGATTTAAAAATAGTCATTGAAATTAAATATGGATTAAACATATTATATTATCGTGTATGGAACAATTAAATACATGTTAGATATGGTCACTTATTAAATATTTTTGTTATGTAGTAACCTACCATTTGAAGAGTCCCATTCTTCATCGTCCTCATCAGACACCCGAGACTCATAAGGAGCCACCTTGAGCCAATCATATAGACGACGTCGGCAACACCTACACAATATAACATTATTAGTAAATAGAATAAAAGAAATGTGTGAAATTATAAAAAAATATTATTTATACAAATACAATTTATTAATCTTAAATAAAATTAATTCAGCTCAATAATTTTTGATCTTTATTATTTATTTATTTATTTAAAAAACTTTATTGTCAAACTACACACGTAGATACAATAGGTGGACTTAATGCCTGAAGGCATTCTCTGCCAGTCAAACCTTAGGAAAAGCAGAAAAACATGAAGACGGTTGCAGTATGTAAAAGAAAAATATACATATAAATTTCTATTGTTATATAAATAATATTTACACATATATATAGATACATATACATACACATACAAATACATATACATACACATACATATACATACACATACATACATATACACATACATACACACACATACCAATAGATATATACTATATACCAAAACAATAATAAAAACAGAGACTTAATACAGATTCTGAGCAAAATGTTCCTGTACACGACGCCTGAAAGTTGCCCTTGTAGGTGCCTTTCTTAGTTCTAATGGAAGTTTATTCCACAGTCTGATAGATTTTACATAGAAGGAGTTAGAGAGGAAACTAGAGTGGTGGCTGGGAAAAGAGAGGAGGAGAGAGTCATTAGAGCGTAGCTGTCGAACATGATTGTCACAGAGAAATTTAAAATTATCTTTTAAGTAAGGAGGAAATTGGGGATCAAAAAGAATGGAGAAAAGGAGACACAATATACGTAATTCTCTGCGTTGGCGGATGGGAAGCCATTTGAGCTCTGCTCGACAGTGAGAGATGTGGTCAAATTTACGAAGACAAAAGATAAAACGTAAGGAGTTATTTAGGAGACGATCAAGTTTGTTCAAAAGGGTTTCATTGAGATCAGGATAACACACATCAGCGTAATCTATAATGGGAAATATAAGGGCTTGTACAAGTAAGATTTTAGTTTTAATAGGTAAAAAATTTCTTAAACGATTAAGGCATCTTAACGTGGCAGTGACAGAACGACTAACTTCAGAAATATGCACATTCCAACTTAATGTAGAATCAATATGAAGTCCAAGATCTTTAACGTGGTGGAAGTATGGAATAGTCGTATTGTTAAAAACGATAGGTGACAAAGAGGAAATATTTAACTTAGACATGAGACGTGAGCTACCAACAATGATCGCCTGACACTTAGCAGGGTTAACTACAATGCCAAATTTATTAGACCAGTTGCAAACGTAAGAAAGATTTTGATTTATTTTGATTATAGCTGTTTCGATATTGTCTATCTCGGAATTAGAGTATAATTGCAAATCGTCGGCGTAAAAATGATAAGAACAGTCGAGATGTAATGAAAGGAAATTTATAAAAAGAGAAAAAATAATAGGAGATAAAGTGCCACCTTGCGGAACGCCAGCAGAAAGATCAAGCCACTCGGAGAGGGACTGATTCAGCCTAACCGCTTGCTGGCGGCCGCGAAGATAAGAGGAGAACCATTCCAGAGCTGATGCAGAAAATTTCAAATGCTTGAATATGGCCAGGACGATATCATGATCAACCATGTTAAAAGCATTGGAAAAATCAATTAAGACCAAAATGGTGATCATTCTATTCTCCATGCCAACCCGAATATCCTCAGATACTTTGAGAAGAGCGGTAGCTGTGCTATGGCCTGGTCGGAAGCCAGACTGATATGAGGTGAGAATATTATTATTGTAAACAAAGGAAGAGACTTGCTTGTAAACACACAGCTCCACAATTTTCGATAGAAAAGGAAGAATAGAAATAGAAATTATTTAGTTGGGAAGGATTGGGAACTTTAGGAAGTGGAATGATATAAGCTTTACGCCACAAGGAAGGGAATTCTCCAGATGAAATGGAAAAGTTTACAATATGAGTAATAGCCGACAGTACATAGTCCAGAATAGGTAAAATCATAGGTCGATTGATACTATCGACACCAGTAGCATTAGATGTTATTGAGATGATTATTTTACGAATTTCTTCATCAGACACTGGAGAAAGGACTAAGTCGTTAAAAGGAAGAGAGGCCATGGATTCAATCTCAGAAATAGTTGATAATTTAGTATTGGGAGATAACGGAGAACTGGAAGAAAAATATCTGTTTAATGTATCAGGAGAAAACGAAGAGACAGCAATGTCTTCATTCCGTTTATTTATACCTAGTGTTTGAAGAAATTTCCATACTGAGGCCGAAGATGCATTGCTAACATTAACGTGACAATAGTGGCGTTTGGCTGTTCTTACCATTAGATTACACCTGTTGCGAGCTACCTTATACAAATCCCAGTTTTCTTTGCTCCTATCAAGCTTAAACTTGCGGAAAGCGCGATCACGTCGTGACATGGCCATTCGGACTTCTTTGGTAATCCAAGGAGCAGGTGGACGTCTGATCTTAACAGGTCTCAAAGGTGCGTGTTTATCGAACAGTGATAAAATAGACAAGTTAAAGTGAGAGACTTTGTCATCTACTGTCGATGAACGGTACATCAGAGACATGTCCAGCGATCTTGCATCTTCTTTCAAAGCCTCAAGATCAATTTTAGCTAGGTTTCGCATCAACACTATTGGAGCTTTAGCTTTAGGTGACTTAAGCTTGTATGATAAATATATAAGGTCGTGACGAGAAAACCCGGGAGCTGCAAGTTGACCATATTTAATCACAGAATTTTTAGAAGAAACTATGGTAACGTCCAACCAAGTGTCAGGCGAGTCAGAGTTATGATGTGTAGGTTCAGAGGGAAGAATGTTGAAATTCACCGAATCTATGAGTTGGGAAAATTTAAGAGAACGTGGAGTGGTTTTCAACAGATCCGTGTTTAAATCGCCCATTATAATGTGATGTGAGTAATCCGAAGAAAGGGATTCCAGGATAGGTTCAAGTGAGGAGAAATAGTCAACAGTAGGAGGACAATAGACAACTCCAAGAACAGCTTTTACACCCCTGAGACGGATTTCAAGGAATATAAATTCAGCAGAAAACGAGAAAGAAGAAGGAGAAGTAAAAAGAACAGTATAAGCAATATCCGAACGAAGGTAGATAGCAACACCTCCTCCCCCTTTGCCTACCCGATCGTTCCGAATCAGCACAAAACCGGGAAGACTATATAAGGTGGAATTAAGTGAGGGTTTCAACCAACTTTCGGAGATCAATACTGCGTCTACATTACACTAATATATAATTATACACATTCACTACTCATATGTATGTAATATCTTAAGCTTATGTACACAATAATTGTAGTTTTTTTAATGACTTGAGCATATATGTTAAGTCCGTGCTCAAATATTTACAAAGTTTTTATATTAATTTGAGTACTCAAAACTCACTCTACACCCTATATATACTAACTTGAGCACGTAGTCCTTAGCTTCTTGTAATAGCACCGCGTGTAGTTCTCGTCTCAGTTCAGGTATAACTATCTTAGTGAGCGCCAGAGTCACGGCCTGCGCCCGCAATTCGTTCCACGCTTGGACTGTGGCCGCAAACTCGTCCTATATAACATATAGAAATTATATTAAAATATTAATGAATAAAAAGATGGCATTCATTTTCATTATAATGAAAAAAAACTATATTTATTCACTTTATCAGACTTGAAACATTGGCCTTACATTTGGTGTTATATACGAATGTATGGCTTCAATTGGAAACGTCAATATCTAAAAATTGCATTGTCAGTCAGTTTGTCTGATACTTCATTGTAATATATGAATAAAACTACACCGTTGTAACTATTGTCCTTTAATTTCGAGTGTTATATATGAAATATATGAGATGAAACCTCTCAGCGTTTAAATGATTCACCGTGCGGGTGCCGGATCCATCGTTGTAGAGAGAGGAGCTTCAATAGTGCCTGGGACTTGCGACCCAGGTGTAGGTTAAAGGATCCCTATCTAATCTAAATTCAATTGGATATATACATATGACAATCTTAGGTATTATTATAGGTAATGTATGTACTAACTTTCTGATACAACTGTTTCAACTCCTCCAAGTAGCTAGGGCTTGTGTTTCCTTCTATCTGTTCGCTGATGGTCAGTTCTAACAGCTTGTCATCAGCGGCTATAGTCAACCTCAAGAACTGGTCTCCAGTAAGGTCACGGACAGGTTTCTTTTTCAAATATTTCATGCTGAAGGTTATAATTTTATAAGATAGGATATATCAGTAAATTTGTACGTATATGTGGGGCCGTTCAAGTATTACGTAAGCACTATGGAGGGGCGGGGGGGTCTTTGGTTTGATTATTTTGGATGACATGGGGGGTAGCGGAGTCTAGATGATGATTACTTCATCGGTAGTTATTTACTTTTTAATTGTCACATCGAGAAGTTCCATAAAAAAATATAATTATAAAATTTTTCTGGATTTATATGAAAAAAAAAAACAATACTATAATTGAAAATGTTTACGTAAGCATGGAGGGAAGGGGTAAGAACTTTGTTTAGTTTTGCTGACAAGGGGGATGGGGTGTAAACAATTGTAATAAATCTGCTTATGTAATACTTGAACGGCCCCTGTAATTACTGTAGTTATTTAACAATAAATATATTTCTAGTAATGAAACGACGAATATTAGTATTGTCATTGGGATGTGTGATGACGTCTTAGCTATATTATGTAATACCTCACCTATAACAGGGATGTCCCTCATCGATTTCCTTAAGACCTCGCGGCGTGGGTTTGGTTGTGACTGTGGCCCTCTCTCTCAAAGCGTCCCTTAGCGTCGCTCGTAGTAGAGGTTCCCTAGCTAATTGTACACCACACATATACACGGCGCGACGGACCACCTCACTGCAAGAACCGCCTGGAGAAACCTGTGGGTACAACAAAGGTTCAAGTTACAGTGGTTAGAGGCAATAAAGATAAATTGATCTCTGATTATGAAGCAATTTGATTTAAAAAAAAACTAAGGTGTCCAAATTGTGACTTTTAAAATTATATTATGGTAATATAATAAATTCAATTCTTGTGTTAAAGAAAATCGTGCGTAGATAACAAAAATTGGTAAACGATCTGTTACAATGACAAAAAAAAACACCTTATATATAATATTTTTCTTTCAAAAATTCCTGGTGGGTATTTGGCATGTACGTAAATTTAGGAAAAATATGGTCAATCTATGTACAATATATATATGTAGTAACATACATATTCGGCAGCAGCCTCTAGCGGCGGAACAGGTTGTTGTTCAACCTCGTGTCGCTGGTAATTGTCTCGAACGTTCTCAGCGAACTGCTCCGGGGAGAGACCGAATTTCTTCACCAGAGGCTCTAAAACCATATAAAGAATATTGAAATTATTATCATATAACATATATGCTGATACACTTTTTAACTTGGTGTACTTTTTATTTGTACTAGTAGTATATTAAGTCAGTGGCGGCCTAGTGGTTAAAGGGTCCGCCTCTCGTTGCCGAGGGCGCGGGTGCAAACCTGGCAAGTACCAATGTGATTTTTCGGAGTCATATGTACTTTCTGAGATTATTTAGACACCACTGACATACGGTGAAGGAAAACATCGTGAGGAAACCTGGACTTATAGTTTCACAATTATAAGTTTGAAATCGCCAACCCGTCTTGAGCAAGCGTGGTGATTAATGCTCAAACCTTCTCCATGTGAGAAAGAGGCCTTTGCTCAGCAGTGGGCGCTGATGGGCTGATGACGACGTACTTTTTATTCAAAAAGAACATTCTTTAAGAAATTTTTCAACGTACATATTTAATATATAGCAAAATACACCAGTTCTTTTATCAAGATACACTAGCTACTTCTAATTTTTAATACTATAAGAACTTTAAATGTAGATAATTAAAAACTATTGTCTTGCCCGTGGTTTCTTCCACGTTAAAAATGGTATTAGGTTCAGATAAAAAGAGTGCCATAGAAATTAACCAAAATGCAGCGTCATTTATAATCTACGTCACGAATTTTCGAATGAATTCTTACAAAATACCATGATTATGCCCGGTTACGGCAGGTACTACTCCTAACTGCGAAATAGATTATCACCAAAATCTTATTCTGATCAAGATAAATCATGGGAAAGTTTCATCAAAATTAGCTGAATATTTACGTGCAATAGCACCTAACATGCACAAACCCTAACAAACTTTCTCATTCATAACACTAGTAGTATATTAAGTCAGTGGTGACCCAGTGGTTAAAGGGCCCGCCTCTCGTTGCCGAGGGCGCGGGTTCGATCCTGGCCCGGGCAAGTACCAATGTGATTTTTCCGAGTCATATGTACTTTCTAAGACTATTTAGACATCACTGATTAATGTTGATTCCCAAAAGAGGGTTGACGTCAGGCAAGCGGCCGGTCGTAAAAACAAATAGCCAAAACTATTCACAACATGTAAGGCAGACCCTGGCTATAGCTGGGAAAATTGCCAGGTAGAAGAACACTAGTAGTATATCCAGACTCCACTTACCGATGCCAGCCTTCCTGCAGAGTTCGTAAGGTCCAGAGCGCACAGCATATTTAACTTCCGTGGCCTCTTCTTCCTCGGGTTCAGCGGCGACCACAGCAGCCGCCGCTTCCTCTGGATCTTCTCCGTTCTTCTCTGCTTCTTCACGTGCTAACCTCCTGGAGAATAACATTTTTTTTGTTAAAATTAGATCACATTTGTTAATTTAGACTCGTATTGAGGATTTTGTATAAATGGAAAGTATTTAGAATAATGTACAAACAGTATTTTTTAATTACAGTTAAAGATTTATAACGTATTTTATCCGTGAATATATTTTTTATGATTCAATTAAATTTACAAAGAAGGTACATAGTTTTTAGATTTACATATGCTTCGAAAAAGATACGATAATACTTGTAACATTCTATACTTTTCGGAAAACCGAAAATATCTTCTGAATTTTGTTAATCAAAATATATTTATTTTTTAAGTAAAAGGACAGAAAACCTTGACGTTTAATTTTTTCACATTTTCATTAAACTATGAAGTTAAATTATTACTAAATAGATATTCCACATGTTCCCTAGATATAAGGCGTAGGTAAAAAGTGATGCAGATTTTCAAAGAGTGATTCTGCAAGAGTTCCGTTTTACTATTTTCTTTTAAGAAACAAACAAGAAAATTTACATTAATTTTCTCACTAAATTAATATGGTTCAATATAATATTAATAAAGGTCCATATCTTTTGAACAACTGAATGCAAAACCACCAATACATTTCTATACAATTTGTTAAGTATACTAAATAATAACTTCTTACTTCTTCTCTTCTAACTCCTTCTTCCTCTCCTTACTTCTCTGTACCTTCTGCATCTCAGGTAAGTCGTGTGAATAGTACAGAAGGAAATGTGTATGGACATCACGCAACTCCTCCGGAGTCTGTATGTTCTTCAGTCTATAAAAACAAACATTTCAGAATATAATATTACTCCGTGCCAACATATGTCTATTTCTTATATACTATGACGTAATCAATGTAAGCGAAAATCACTATCCATATCGCCACTTAAAAACAAACCAATACAATAAATTATGGTATATTTCTGCGCTCATCCAAAATTAGTCTCAATAATTAAATAGTAAATTACAATACATATATGTATTTTTAATAAATTGCCTTTTTATCACACCAACTACAGTCAGTCAAAACTCTATTTATATAGAAATAAAATTATAAAATCAATTTGTTTACTACATCCAGTGGAGAACAAATATTTAGTATTGAATACATAAAACTGAATTGAAAATACAAACCTAAAATATTGAGATTTAGATTATAATAATAACAGAAATTATAATAATAATAACAATTGTAAACAGCCCACCTATCAATATCTTCATCCTTAATAAGTCTCATGGTGTCAGGTATGGGTGCATCTGGGTCAGCCATAACTTTATCAAGCTGAAACTCCCTCATATTTTCTATAAGACGCAATAAATTCTCCTTGCGCTGTTTCAATTGACACCACTAGAAAATAAAAATAAAATCATTTAATAGTTTCTTCAGTGGGCAACACTGAGAACATAACGGATATTATTTCAGTATTACTGTTATGTCTAAAATTTACATTTTATGTGATTTTCCAAAATGTGCACAGAAAAAAATGCATTTATTAATTATTGGAACTTTTGCGTCGTTTCAAAATTACAAAACTTTTGAACAATGAATATAAATATCATTCCAAATAACCATTTAATATCTTGACACGACATATTTTGTATGAGTTTAATAAATTAATTTATTTTCATAATATTCCACTCACCTTGGCATCATACTTATAAACCTTCCACAGATCATTAATACTTAATTCGGGCTGCACGTACTCCTTACGATAAAACGCTATAAAAGGAACTTCTAATGTCTGGTTTCTCATAAAATCTAACGCCTGACGAATCTTTATCACTGTACCTCCAGTACTAAAACAAAATTTAATCCTTACAAACAATGTTCATTTAATTTTGTTAACATTCTATACAAATCATATGCCATTTTCATATATATAATTACTGTTCTTTGAGAGTAGTATGAATAGACACACTTAAGTAATTTCAATACTAATTAGTCTAATACATATATATAAAAACTAGAAATAGCTCAGAAGTAAAATAAATCCTAAATAATTTATGTAGAGACAAGAAAAATATTTTAATTGAAATAAAAGTAATATTTTCGGATTATTACGCGATTAAATTATATTTAAAACCTAAATACTCATTTTGTATGACCGCGATCCTGCTTGCTGCAATGTAACCAAATTGTCTTGAATATATAGTTTATAAAAATAATAAAATACGAAAATATTAGTTTCATTTAAATTAATACTCGAAATCTTAGATCTCATTAAAGTATTTTGATATCTCACCGCCGAGTTCGTTCCCTTGCATCTTGTGAGTCAGCTTTGGATACGGGCGGTTTAAGGAACGCCTGTTTATAAATCCATTCAGCCTCATCTTCCAACTCCGTACTGCCTTCTTCAACTGGCGTTATAGGCACTTCGCGGATTTGCATACGCTCTGGTACATCTGTTTTTCTTATCTGCAAAAACATTAATATATTAAATATATATATATATTTCTGAACGCAATATCGTGTATATAATATAGATATAAATAATGTAAATAACCTCATTATCTAAATCGGTGAAGTGACTCCTCTTCAACTCACTAGGCTCATATATTTCAAATATAGACTTTTTACTTGGACGTTTCGCTTTACCCTTTTTAGTCCTTCTTCTCTCTCCACCTGCAATTAGCATACAATAATACTTTTCATAAAAACTTTGCCAATATATATTTCAAATAGATAAAACAATTATGTATGTTTATGTATTAAAGGATGATATAGTAATTGTTTTTTAAACATTTCTATGAGTCTTTAAAATTTAATTTCAGAACATGTTTTTATCAAAAATGAGATTATAACTATCAAAATATATTTGAAAGTAGATGATTCAAACTTCAACTAAGATTTACAGTTCTTTTATATGAATATACAATATGTACTTAAAAGCATGATCCTTCATATGAGTTATAGACTATAATGTCTTAGGTTTAACATATGTATGTGTATAATGTTTGTCTGTGTACAAACCTTCTTCTTCCTCGTCCTCAATATATTCATCTAAATCCTCGTCATCTTCATCTTCATAATCTTCTTCACCATACTTCTCAAACTCATCATAATCAAAATCTACACCAAATATGTCCTGACCCTCTTGTAATGACCTGTATAAACATTTATTACATGTTAATTTTTATACTAAAACATATTACAAATTATTCTAAGTTAGAACTATGTTTCTTTTAGTCATTATTGTCTATGTTTATCTTAAAAGAAAAAACAGAAAAATTGTACAGTGGAAGACTAAAAGTTTAAAATTAGTATTTACTAATTTTAAGTGTAATTAATCACCATTCTACTGCTCAAAAATTATTTTTTGATTATTACACTCAAAAGTATAAGTATAAGTAGGAACAACAAAAAACATTTACTAGTTAAGACAAGACCTTACTCCCCTTGTTAAAAATTTATTATTAAATATTATAAATATTTAAAAGAAAACAATTAATTTATAATTATACTTTTACATGAACATCAAAAAATTATATCAAGTTGGTATAATAACTTACGCATCAGTAAAAATAGGTTTGCGTTTCTTCTTCCTCTCAGCGATGGGTCTACCATCGTCATCAACAATGAAGTCATCAGCATCTGATTCCATATCTTCATTCTCATCGTCATATTCTATTTCCCTCGGTGCAGCTGATTCTGAACGATTTTCATCCTCCTGTAAAATTTCATCAATAGAGTATGAGATTAAAGTCTGAAATAGTGTGATGAGATATATGTCAATGTTTAAAAATTGTTTAATCTCAATTGTTTGTAAACATAAGTCTTCTCTAATCACATGTGACCATATCAAAAAAGTATATCGACGCTATGTCTATAGCTTTGGCAAAGGGGTCAAATAATTTGTTATTCATAATTTGTTCTTTCCTTGCAATTTATAATAGATATTTTCTCATTTTTTACATTATAAGGATAAAAAATATGAACATATTATTTGTAGGCTTTTTCAAATTTCACATCAATCTTCCTTTTATATTTTTAGCTGTAATATCACTACATCAATATCAATATTACCAAACTTACTGTATAGATACTAGAAACAGAAAATACTTTCTACACTGAATGTACTATAACCATACAAATTTTTTGATACAAATTTCATGGTTTAAGTATAATTTAGTATTACCTGTATATTTATCCTACTAATATTATAATTGCAAAAGTTTGTGAGTGTGTGTGTGTATGTTTGTTACTTCTTCACCCTCAAACAGCTGAACCGATTTTGATAAAATTTTGTATACAGGAAGCTGATGACCAGGAATAACGCATAGGCTACTTTACATCACGGAAATCAAGGAAATCTGTGGGTAACACCACAGGGCGCAGCTAATATATCACTATAAATATTAGACTTTTTAATCTTTGTAGTATTATGCTAACTCGTCATTACTTACATCATCCGAGCCACCAACGAACAGTTTCTCAGCTATAACCTCCCTCTCCAGATCGGGGTCATCGGCCCCTTCATTGTCACTATCATCGTCCTCCAGACGTCTCAATCTCTTAAATTTATTCTGCAAAGTATGTATAAATACTTATGTTAAGTATAACTATAGTATAATACTATTTAATATTTATATAGTCGATTAGCATCTTTAAACATAATAAACATAATTTTTTTAATATTTTATATACAAATAACATACTCTAGCAACTTTAACACCCAGATTCTCCTCGATGAGGTCATAATCTTCGTCTTCCAATCTATCATCGAGTTCGTCATCACTTTTTTTTCTTTTCTTTGGCCCAACACTGGCATCTGAATCCTCACCATCACTTCCAGATTCTTCTATGGGTGCGTCATCTATAAGATCCTTCAACTCCTCGCGTAGCCGTTCTTCATCATCTACAATAATTCACATTGTGAATAACATTGTTTGCTTAAAAATAACCTGAAATTTCGTGCTCCATTTTACTGTGGAAACCTGTTTACTTCTATACAATCAACAATATAACCTGTAAAAGGTGCAGAATGCAAACTAAATTAATTTTAATGTCTTTACTTGAGTGGAACTTGAAGTTTTCGAAGATGTAAATAAAGCACTAACCCTCTTCCTCTTCGTCTTCATCGTCACTTTGAACGGCAGCTTTACGCTTAGGCTTTTTACGCTCAGTTGGTTTCTCATCTTCTTCAGATTCTACCTATAATTATTATATGAATCTCCGTTGAATTAATAAAATAAAGAACAAACTTATATTGAGACTTTTCAACAATAAAGTTCACATAAGCGTTGTTACTATTTTAACTAACCTCGCTCTCAGCTTCTGAATCCAAAAAATCTGCCATTATTACTTATTCTAAAGAAAAGTCTAAACTTAACTAACTTATTAAATAATTTAATAATATATGAATATCTAAATGAGAAAAGAAAAAGCCTACGAATACGAATAGAAATCACTAATGTTAACACACAGATAATCAATTCAAGGAAAACAATGCTGCCATTTACTAAATCATTGTTTGTTTATACTTTAGTTTCAGTCAATTCCTATCTTTTTCTTAAAAAAAAACATTATTTAAATAAATCGTATTATTATATTGGAATTCATATCGTGTTAAAATTTAAAATTGTATATTTTTAAATTGCAAAATATATTTTTACTGTCTATAACTTAGTGACATTTTCAGCTCAATACAAATCTCAATGGTCATGTGAAAATAAAACATAAATATAAACATGACATTCTAGAATATAGATTATCAGATTACGAATACAAATAGTGGTTTGATACAAGATTCAATAATTAAGGTCGAAAGGAGGAAATCAAAGTTATATATATTTCACCATACTATATTTCACCATACTATATACTATATCGGTACACATTTTAATTTAAATTTATAAATTATATTTTTAATGAAAATGACTACTGCAACTCCAATAACGAAGAATATTATCCATGTCGGACAAAAATATATTCCCATCGAAGACGGAAGTAAAGTGAGTAATTGCTAATATTTGTTTGGAACAAAATTCTACTTTAAAAAAACTAAACATTACCTTGTATCGCCTTAGGTATATTTCCACTTTCAAACATGGAAGTTGGGGAAGGATAGGATATTAATAGACGACAGTAGGAAAATAGGGAAAAAGGAACCTATGGTGCTGGTAATTGGACACAAATTTAAACTTGAAGTCTGGGAAGCAATCATTAAGATGATGGCTATCGGGGAAGTTGCAAGTTTTCATGTGAAAAAAGAGGTGATTAATTTTTATACCACTACATATATTTTATGATTAATTATTAAATGTCCACACAAATATTAAAGATATTTTGTAAAACAAGAGTAATAATGTAACATAATTTTTACAGTTAGTATATAGCTATCCCTTTGTGTCCAAAACTCTAAGAGAATTAGGTCAGGAGCAGAGAGTAAAGCATAGTTGTACAATGACATTGCACACAGAGGGTATCGGATATGCTGATTTAGATGGTCTTATTAATCAACCAAGTGACTTGGAATTTGTTATCGGTAACTACAAAACTAGCTATATTTTGTTTAAAAGTACCATAAGGACTATAAAGCATTTATAGTCATTCAATTTTATACAGGGTGACTGGTGAATTACTATCGATACTTGAGGACGTGATATTTGATGATCATATATGACAAAATAAAAATGAATATAACATGAATATTAATAAACTTCTAAGTAAAGTTAACCAAAAGTTATGTAATTAATTACGCATCGTGTGGACACCCTAGCTGCGTTATCGACACAAAACAGTTATGTAGGTAGGTAGGTAGCAAGTGAGCTCCTTCTCGTGTGATACACATTTGTGTATTGATAAGCCATACTTAATTACTAATAAGTAATTACGGGTCACACGCACACACGACAGATTAGGTATACGCGATATTGATATATGATATATGAATATGATATTGATATCTATATACGTGCGTATATAGATCGCACGCCGCCGCACGCGCCGCCGCCAAGGCTGGGAACGTGTCCACACTTTATTTTTTTATATGGAAATTTGGTAAAAAATTAAGTACCTATTTTTTTTTACATAATTCGAATGAGAATCATGTAGTATTCTCCTTAGATATTGATAGTAATTCACCAGTCACCCTGTATATACTGTCCATATTAAAACTGTTTTAGACGATATAAAACAATTTTTAAATAGTGTCCCAATTTAAAGATGTTATAGAGATTCAGTGTGTTAATAGTGTATGTATATATTTTCTTTTGATATAGAATTATTAAAAGTCGAAAACTCAAGTGAATATGAAAAGGAATTATGGCAGATGAGTACTGAAGAGAGATTTAATATGATACCCGAGCTAAAAAAGAAGGGCAATATGCTGTATGGACAGAAATTATTTGATGAAGCAGAGAAGGCATACACCGAGGCTTTGTCTATTTTAGAACAAATGATGTTAAGGTAATAATTATTTTTTGGTCAAACCATTAAATGACTAGTGGCTGTGTTAAATTTAAACCTTAAAAGTGAAGAGTGTAGTGTGGAAAATGTTTTATATTTATAGTTATTATTTATTATATGGAATGGAAATTTTTATTTTTAGGGAAAGAAAATGTGATAATGAATGGATAACACTAAACAAAATCAAAATTCCCATTCTACTCAACTATGCTCAGTGCAAATTGATCAAGGAAGAGTATTACTCAGTTATAGAGCATTGCAACACAATTCTGGAACATGATAAAGGTACTTGTACTAGCTTATTATGTAAATAATTTTAAAACTAAATTTTTATATAATTAATTATTTTAGACAATGAAAAGGCTTTATATAGACGAGCTAAAGCTCACACTGGTGCCTGGAATCCAGATGCCGCAGAAGAAGATTTTAGAAGATTAAAAAAATTAAATCCAGCTATGACCGCCATATGTGATAAAGAATTGGAATATCTCAAAAAATTACGCCACGAGAAAACAGAACAAGATCGTGATGCTCTTAAGAATTTATTTGGTACAGAGATTGCGGCTTCCTAGCATAAAATGAATTATTGCAAGAGCAATAATTCAACGAAGCGACTAAAACGACTTTTAAAGAAAAACCTTAAAGTTATCGTATTTTGTGCTATAATATTTACTTGTATAATGACTCTATTTATACTGAAACTATAGAGACTATAAAGAATATAACTATAATAAAAATTATTGTAATATATTTATGTGTGCAATATACTTTAAGTTCTTTTATTTTTACTTACGTGTCAAAGTAGTCTATATGAAATAATTATAGAAAGCAAACTTCCATATTTTATATTAAGGTTAATATTCAAGTTTCTGAACGTATCACAGTAACGTCAGAAGAATGACATTAGTTCGTTGCCTGTTTATTAACCTTAAAATAAGACGTGGGAAATATAAATAAAAAGGATCTTCAATATATTTAAGTGTGTTTTAGACACATGTTTATTTAATTACATACTGTGTATTCTAATTAAATCTATAGTAGATATAGAATTCACGTTTCTTTTGTAGTACTAAGTACTAACCTGTGACTTACTGGTAAGAATAACATTTACCTTTTATATCAGTGTTTATATAGTGATAAAATAGCGTATTAGGAGCGTTATTAATAGAATTAATCTAGAATTATTCCTAAACCTTTCCTCCGCGTAAGCAATCCATACATCATTCCGTATCCCTTATTCTTAAGGCCAAGAAATATAATTAAATATCAGTATAACCTAATCAACAAGCCTTAATAGTTTGAAATGATTAGGTGAAAATTGTTGTACCTTTATACCTAAACAGAATGTTTACAAAACAATTGTCTGTTACTCTATTAGTTTAAGTAAATGCCAAATAGTGGACAAAGTATTGAATATGCTCTACTTTAAAATATGTACATAGTGAATTAATTTATTGTCCTGTACATAATAGATATAATTTATATAAGAGCAGAATTTATCTAAGCGCTATTTAAAGTTACACTCTAGTTTTTAAATGAAGGCATCAATCTTTTCTGTAATGACCAACAAGCTGGTAATGGTGTAGCTTTACATAAATAAAGTAAGAAGTCAAAACCTCACTTCCCAGTTTGGGGTAAATCTTGATTATTCATCCAAAGAGTCTCAATGGACCAAATTACATTTCTGTCCTACAATCCAAATCCATTCTTGTCATCGGAATGTTCTCAAAAAACATTGTTTTTCTCTATTTTTTTCACATTATTTGTGATGACTATCCTTAAACATTTTTAGGTCTAATGTAAATAATTTGTATACTCATTACCCTATATTTTTAAAATAATATCATCCTAAATATCATCCTTAAATTAAATATCATCCTTTTGAAGAGTTAAAGATTTTTCTATTTACTATTTTTCTACTATGGTCCACAAAAAAATATTTTTATCCTTCCTTATAAAATTCCTTACCCTTAATTGTTAAATGTTCCTAGATTAAAGTTTTGTGCCTATATTATAGATGTATAAACATTTTAAGAATATATTAACTACTAGAAGACCTGGCAAACTTCGTATCGCCCTATAATCAAGAAATGTCTATTACGTTTTTTTATTTATATTTTTGGAGTTTACCTGTAAGCCCTAAACCTCCGTGTTTTGAAGTGCGACAGAATCATTGACATATTAGTTAGTTGTCAAATCTAATGACAAAAAAAAACGTTGTATGGGAAATAGAAAAGGCCTGTTTTTATGGTTTTCCCAGTAAAGAATCAATTTTTCTCACCTTTTATACCTTCCCTGAACCTCCACGAACATTTCAAGACTAAGATAAGATAAATCCGTTCAGCTGTTCTCGAGTTTTAGCGAGACTAAGGAACAGCAATCCATTTTTATATATATAGAAGATGTAAATTTTGCATCAGTTTTAAAAATTGTTTATGTGTAGTTTGTAAAAAATATTGAATGTTATAGATTTAAGTATTGTCATGAAAATATATCTACTATGTGAATAGTTATTAAACAAAAGCACCATCAAAATCAAAACAGAAAGTGCAAAGAAAACAGTCAAATATTTTTTAATGGTTGCTTTTATCTTGGCGTCGTATAATTAACAATGTATACTCAAGGAAATGGTTATTTGTTAATCAAACAGCCTTTCCATATAATTTATAGAATTATGTATTAATATAATGAAAATTTGTGTTGTTCTAGATATAAAATTAATGTTTTACATGTAAGTGACTTTATTCAACAATATTTATTGATAATTAAAATTATCAAAGACCTCTACTCAATCTCTTACTATACTATGAGTATGTAAGATTGGTGGAATTTTGTAAATATATATTACAAAATTTTTTTTGGACCTTGAAACAATGTCAGAAACTGAATTATTAAAGGACAATAATGAGGATAACATAGAAACTGATAATATAAAAGAAGAATATGCATATCTGGACCGTGGTGGGTTTTCTTCGGAAAAGTTCAAAGTTGAAATTAGAGGACTTCCTAAATTCTATGGAATAGTGGTAAGAATTTTTTTGTTGTATAAGTTATACCTCTAATTTAGCTTTCATTTAAATGTTCTGTGTTTTTCAATAATATTCTAAATATCAATTTAAGGAACTGAAGAAGCTAATGAATCAAAAATTGGGTCTTAATGCCAGCAAAATCAAACGACCGAAGAATGGCAGTCACTGGTTGTTTGCATGTTTCCAAAATGATGAGGACAGAGCCAAGGCAATAAGTGCTCTTAATGGATATTCTTGGAAAGGTATAATATGAATTACTTAGCTTTTTACCAAGGTTTTGCTTGTGTTCTCTATTTTCTATCAAAACTATTTCTTAGGAACGCTTTTAGGTTTACAGCTAAAATGATTACTGAATACTAAAAAAAGTCTTAATGTAGTAAATCATATCTATTAATTATTTATTAATAAAATTATATCTTGATATAAGGAAGTTTATTCTCCATTTAGTTTGTTACACTTTCCGTGGATTCAGGTAGATGTTATGAAATCTGAACACCATGATTTTGGATTTCTGCACCAATATTATTATTCCAGCCCTTGAATTACTGGTCAAACTTGCATTTTGCTATAAATATCTGCAGAAAATAGTCTTTGTTTCTCTATATAATCCCTGTAACCATTAAGTGTAAGTTTCATAATTATCAGTTCAGATCTCGAAAATATTAACTCAGATTAACGAAGATTTATATCAGTTGCATTATGTTTGGTGTATTTAATTTAATATCAAGAATCAAATAGAATTTTGTGTTTAGGTAAAACATTGATAGCCGAAGAAGCAAAACCAGCTCCAGATCCATTGGTGAAGAAGAGAAAGAGGGATGAAGATTCAGTAAACAATAAAAGGAAGAAAGAAGATGAGAACAAGAGTCAAGAAGAAAGATTAAAAGACGCTGTTACCCCATATTGGAATATCCCTTACGAAGAACAGGTAATATTGGATATATTAAGAAAAATATGTTCTATTCCACAAAATTACCTCAAATCGATCGGACATTTTGTTGCCAAGTCTCCGCCAATGAATGACCTCAATCGCCAGTATCACTTTCTACTGGCTTCACTGAATTAATGACTATATCAAGAAAACCTCTAATAAGAAACCACAGGGTTGCGGTATTTAGCAGTTTTTTTTGGACATGTGTTCCGTTTTCGGGCGTGAAATTTAAATTGGTTGTTCGATCATTTTTTTAATAGATATAATAACTCGATAACTAGGTTATTATAATAAATCTCGACTCGATCGAACCTTTAGTTGCCGAGAATCCGTAAATGTATGACCTGAGTTGTCATTATAGTGCTCTGCTCGCTTCTCTATCTTCACTGAATTAATGAGATTGTTATTTAATTCTATATATTATTTTCAGCTTGCACTAAAAGAGAAAGAAGTGAAGAACCTGTTAATGAAATTTGACAATGAAGTATGGAAAACAGATAAGAACAAACGTAATTTAATAGAATCCAATCGTAAACTATATAATGGACTCAGTTTTGAATTGAAGCCCATTCAGAAGTCGCCAATCACGGCTGGGTATAGGAATAAATGTGAATTCACTGTTGGGATCGATGATGAGACAGGGAAGCCAACTGTGGGATTCAGATTGGGGAGTTATGTTACCGGAACAGTTGGTGTAGCGCCGGTTGACAGTTTAATTCATATATCAGACAAAATGAAACAATCAGTCTTGGTAAGCAAAGAAAAACTCACAACCTACCCCTTATACTCACTCACAGAAATTCCATTTATTCATTAAATGAGAAATATTTTTTTTGCTATGTAAATTAGAGGAATCTTCTTATATCTTCTTACAGCTGTTCCAAGATTTTGTAAGAAAATCCAATATGTCACCGTTCTCACCCGCAGACTACTCAGGTTACTGGCGTTATCTCACTGTTAGGGAATCAACTCATAATGGAGATATTATGCTGATTGTGGCCATGTATCCACAGGTAGGTAGTTGTTAATTTAACAGATTTTATTAAAACATAAAATTACAAAACTATATACTTGAAACATCAATATTTCCTTTGTCTATTCATGAGGACAATATGTTTGAGAAAATATTAACATTATTATTGGTCAATATGTGTTTCGAAGTAATTTCTGGTTTTCGAATTTTTTTAACAATTAAATTATTTATGAAGATTTACTTTTGTCATTAATTATTATTTAGGTCTATTAAAATTTGCGTTTTCAGTGAAAAGTTCAAGTAATGAAAAATCCTTGTATTCAAAATAATACGAAATAAAATTAAGCTAAATATGAGATATGACAATTAGCAAAACTAATTTATAGAAACTTTTAACTGTAGTTAAAACAAAAGAATTTATTAAATTTAAGCAGTAGGAAAAATACGAAATTAATAAGGATTTTTCTTGAATTGTGATAATCTCATATTTTTTAATAATCAACAGTAATATATATAAATACTACTATTCAGTGGCGGCTGTACCTTAAGTGCACTCGTGCGCTGAACCACCAATTCAAAAGATTTAAAAATTACAAAATATTACTTCACCTTTATTTTTAAATTACCATTTTAATATTTATTTTTTAAACATACAAAAACGTATAAAAAATTAAGTTTTCTAATTATAGTCAAGAAGTTTGTAAGCTTTACTAAACTAATATCTCGTGCGCTTCGGCGAGTGCACGAGGATTGCTAATACATCTTGTATGAGATATGCATTAATACGCCTGACGCGTGAAACAAAAGATAGTTCATAGAAATGTACCGAGTAATGAGTCGGTTCTCGAGCGCCGCACGAGCGACATAACATTACCGAGAGCACCCGATGTATGACGAATTGAGCCATGATTGACATCGCGTTATGTTTTGTTGCATTTTCTAATTTTAATATTTTAGTAAAGTGCACCGCCAGTTTTATAACCCACCAGCCGCCACTGCTACTATTATAACATTGTTACAGGATTTGACAAACGAGAAATTAGAAGAATTAAAACGACAATTGATTGAACATTTCAGTTCGGAAGAGGCTCAGGCATGCGGAGTTAAATCAGTGTACTTTGAAGGAATTACTAAAAAGTTAGTCCACATATAAACAAAAATATTATTACTGAAATATTATGATACATTATAATATTTTTCATTTTACAGGAGGCTGGGTGAAGATGGTTCAAAGCCAATACATTTAATGGGTTCAACTCATATTGTGGACACAATACTGGGTCTACAGTTCAGAATTTCTCCAGAAGCTTTCTTTCAGGTAATCTTAATAAATTTTTTTACTCTCTAAATATGAATAAAAATGAGATCTAATACTTTTGAGAGTATTCATTAAAATAAAACTAGTATTTTCGGATTTACTACGCATTTTTTATTATTTAAAACTGCATACTCCCGACGTTTCAGTTACTTTCCAGCAACCGAGATCACGGTTACACGAGACGGAAAGACATCCGAAAATCTTAGTTTTAATTATATGAATGAACAATTTATGAATTAGAAAGTTAATTTATTTTTTCTGGCGCTACTTAAATCATACCAAGTTCTCTCCTTATTCTTATAAAACTTGCAAGTAATGTTTCTACATAATCACTCTTAAACATTTATATAGATAATCAAATTACACAAATTATTTTCCCATTTAATCAACAATGATTTCTATGATCTAAACTTATTATATTATTATTTCAGATCAACACAGCGGGTGCTAACATATTATATCAGAGTGCAATAGAGCTCAGTAACGTTAATGACAAGTCCACATTAATTGACATCTGTTGTGGGACTGGTACCATTGGATTATGTTTTGCCAAGGTATATAATGATTTAACCTATCTTTATATATGTATATATAATTCTTCTGTGAGAGTGTATGTATCTGAACTTCTCTCAAACGACAGGACCGATTCTGATGAAATTTTTTGTTTGTGTTCAAGGGGATCTGGGAATGGCTTAGATTCACAATTTTGTCCGCTGGACAATGTTTTTTTAATTAATTTTTAATTTATTAGTAGTTGTTGATACAAACGTTTTTTTTTTGACATTAGATTTGACAACTAACTAATATGTCAATCATTCTGTCACAATTCAAAAAACGGAGATTTATGGCTTTAATAGGTTAACTCCAAAAATATAAATAAAAAAAAAGGTACCAGATATTTCTTGATTATAGGGCGATACGAAGTTCGCCGGGTCTTCTAGTATAAATATAAAATAAACTATATTTATGTATCAATATATTGCTATTTTATTTTCCAGCATGTAGGGAAAGTCCTTGGTATAGAGCTTGTGTCTGAAGCTGTCAATGATGCGAAATTCAATGCTGAGTGGAACTCTATCGATAACTGTTCGTTCTTCTCCGGTCGTGCTGAAGATGTGCTGCCCTCTGTACTTGCGAGGGCGACATCTGATGACGTCATCGCGGTCGTTGACCCGCCCAGGGCTGGGCTGCGTGAGTTTTTTAATTATAGAGATAAGTTTTGTAAGCTTCTGTCATCCCTGGGTGAAGTAAATTTATATAGTATACCTATCATGTGTTGGAGTGGGGTATGTTAGTATGAAATGCTATAAAGATAGAGAATTTATATAAAAAACAAAGGAATACGTCCCGAAAATTAAAATGTTTTTGTATAAAACCTCTTATTATTATTATGTATCTATGATCTACAGATATGCGGGCCGTGACTCAACTCCGTAATACCAAGAAGGTGTCCCGTTTGATATACATATCGTGTTCCCCGGCGTCTGCCGTCAAGAACTTTGTGGATCTGTCCCGGCCTTCATCTAAAACTCTGCGAGGAGCGGCCTTCGTCCCCGTAAAGGCAGTGCCGGTCGACATGTTCCCATACACTAAACATGTTGAATTAGCTGTTTTATTTGAAAGAGAGGTTGTTTATTTTATTACTAAAGACTTCTTCTTCTACCTGGCAATTTCCCAGCTATAGCCAGGGTCTGCCTTACATCTTGTGAAAAGTTTTTGGCTATTTGTTTTTACGACCGGCCGCCTGCCTGACATCAACCCTCTTTTGGGAATCAACATTAATCAGTGATGTCTAAATACTTTTTAGAAAGTACATATGATTCGGAAAAATCACATTGGTACTTGCCCGGGCCAGGATCGAACCCGCGCCCTCGGCAACGAGAGGCGGGCCCTTTAACCACTGAGCCACCACTGACTAAATTTTATTACTAAAGACTACCAACAAGAATAGTTTTTTATACAAATAAAAGTAGCTTATTTTATTCCTTATATTAATATTAGCTTCGTAAATGGAAGTTTAGTCAAAATCGGCCCAGCTGTTTCAGAGTTTAGCTGACACACAGAGAAACGAACAGAAAAAAAGGAAAAAAATATTTGGTATAATATTATGTTCTAATATGCTTCGTGTAAAGCGACTATTTTAGTAGTAAAATTAAAATAGTGTCTTTTTACTACTTACAGATAGATACTACTATTTTATTTATTTGTATAAATTGAGATTTTATAGTAATAAGCCTTAAGAATAGGGTGAGAGTTGAGTTTTTAAATTGTTGATGAATTGATTGACAGTTGATCCTGCAATGATGTTGGCAATCATTAAAGAAACTTTTTTAGTGGAAATGTAGCAACATTGGTCTAATATAACTTTTTTACTTATTATATTTAGGAAAAGGTTCAACCCAGTGATGGAAATGAGTGCAAGGTTGATGAGAAAGAAGTTAAAGCAGAAGAGAACACTGATATTAAGAAAGAAGAAACTAATGTTACTCTGGAAGAAAATGTACAGACGTAGTGACATTTCGATGTTAAATTTTATAAAATAAATCAATACTATTTTCTATGTTTGGTTTTATTTTTAAATGAACGGTAAAGGAAGTTTAAATTTTCGTTAAAAAGGAAATAAAAAAAGTTGGTAACGCTTTAAAGTGATTTTGGAATAAAACTATTAATTATTATTATTAAATATTGTATACATGATATTATTAAACAACTAGATACCATTATTATTTTTTATTATGAATATGAAATTTTCTGTTCGTTGATATTACAACACTAAAAGGTATTTATAAATTACAAGTTTCTAATTGATGGCAGTAAAATGAAAGAAATCTTTCTAAATAAAACATCAAGGTTGAGATTTGACTGACACACGACTTACTTATACTTACCTTTTATAGATTAGATTGTAGATAGGTTACAATTTGAATACAAATTAAAACTATTATAATCCTAGGGTATTCCGAATATTATATCATCAAATATAAGGTCATAGAAATATTTTGAATAGAAATCTTATGTGAGTATATGGCGACTTCTATTTACTAAAACTTTATTTATTTCAGAATTAAGGACAGAATCATTCCCAAAGAACTCTTGGTTAATTCTTTAACCGAGTTATACATATAGTCTTTGTTTTTTATAGGAAACGCTTTTAAAATTAGATTTAATACAGACACTATACATATATTTATGTGTATAATTCACTCAATGGAAATCAATACGGCCCACCTTTTTTATATTTCCCCATTCGTTTTTTTAGAAAAACGAAGTCTAAGATCATAGCGAGTACACATTTAGATAAAGCTATGATTATCGGGTATAATACGTAATTTATTTTAAATATTATATTACATTTCCCTGACATTTCACTTACTTAATAGTTAATACCAACCGTGATCATAGTCAGACGAGATGAAAAGTAAAAAAAATAATACCAGCATACCTATATTCTCAATTATCAACTTAATTAAAGGTATACGAAACTATTACCATTTTTTTTCTTTTTTGTTGAACATCATCTTCATGGCGTTACAGAACTCGTTCTAACACCCTTCATTAATAAACAAAGATGCATCTTATATTTTTTTTATGTTTCAAAGTTCAAATTGCAATGTAAATAAGAAGACTAAATGTTAAATATTACCCGGACATCGACAAGGCATCATAATTGTATGGATAAAATATGATAAGGTGTTAATAGAACCAGTGGCGACGCCGACTTATTGGAACTAGCGCTTGGCCCTCTGAATTTGAAGATTCCTGACTCCACCAGAATTGGCATTGTTATAATAAAATTGATTAATCATGTAGTTTTAAGTACCTATACAGGGTGACTGGTGAATTACTATCGATATTTGAGGACGTGATATTTGACGATCATATATGACAAAATAAAAATTAATATAACATAAATTAATATAACATAAACTTCTGAGTAAAGTTAACCAAAAGTTATGTAATTAATTATGCATCGTGTGAACACCCTACAGATTAGGTATACACACACACTCACACATACGCATGTCATGACGTGGTGTATCAGCACGCCGCCGCACGCGTCCACACTTGAACATTTGGAACGTGTCAACACTTTACTTATTTATACGGAAATTTTGTCAAAAATTAAGTGCCTATTTTTTTACATAATTCGAATGAGAATCATGTACCGAGTATTCTCCTTGAATATTGGTAGTAATTCACCAGTCACCCTGTATATATTTTTATGTTTCGATTCTTGTTAGAAACGTAATTTCTCAGTATTTCATGATGCTGGGTCTATCGCTTTAAAGGGCGAAGGGCTTTAACAGTGCCTGGGACTTTCCTCCCAGGTGTAGGCTTAAGGAGCCCCTATCTAACACACGTTAATCGCTCACCTCCACTGTCCAAGCTCCTTTCTACCTAACACTATACGTCTAGTACTAACCTTCGAAGTACGTTCTAAGAATGAATTGATTTTAGTTCTGGACAGGCCCAAGTCTTTTAGTAGCTTCTAGAGGGATTTAGATATACATATAAGCAATTTTCGTATGTTTTTTTGAAAGCCGTGTCTGCCGTGAAACGCACCCTATATAACGACCTTCAATAGATGTTTATGTAATCAAATCAATGTAATCAATTTGGATAAATTATAATAAATAATTTGGATAAATGTTCATTAGACATCTTAATCGCCCTGAACGAGACTGGCTCGAGGGTATGAGGAGTAATGCAGATGGAATTTAATAAAGACTCCCTCAACCGTAGAGACGGTCGCATAAAATACCGCAAATATTCACACGTACCTACAGACATTTCTTATTGAAATTTTAAAGATAGGTACAGACGTTAATAATATTATAATGATTCTATAATTATAGCATTGCATATTTTTCTTTGATTAAATACACTAAATTAATTTAAATATTAATTTAAAATAAACGAATATATTATTAAACATTTTGGAGTAAAAAAAGTAATATCGAAGTCCTGATATATTTTATCACATTCCCAAAGATTTTTTCAACCCCTTCTTAACATTGGTAATGGAGCAAATAATATCGGCTAGCACAAATTTCGGCTTTATTTTGACCCACCTGATGTCACTATACTACTATTAAAGGATTAAACTGACAAAAACGATTAATATAAAGAAATTATAACACAAAAAATAAAGCATAATTTTATACTATATTTCAAATTCCGCAATACTTAATTCATATCACTTTTGTGTCTCAATGTACACATGCGCAAACGATCCCCACCAAGTTTTCTGAAAGCTTAAGTTCCTTGCAGGCAGGATTCCTTCATTAAAGTCTCTTCCTCCCTTTAAGCCAGACTTATTCGGTTCTTTGAGAACATACTTGATATCAATATGAAAGTGAAGTGTTTGATCATATTTTTAATGTCTTTAATTTCTTTTCATCACACTTTATCCATTCATCATGCCCCAGGTAAGTTTTTGACTTGAATTTATAATAGCAACTCTAATTTTCTTTTGCTTTTAATTTATTTGTCAGTAAATAATTCACCAAAGGTAGTGAGTGGTTTGATTTAGTTAAATTACTTTTATTCTGCTCAAAATAACAATGTTATTAGTGTTTATTTTTAATACATGAACAATTGAATTACATATTTATATGACACAAAAAACTATTTTCTAGAAAAGAGATTTGCGGAAAGTGAATCTGTATTAGATGCTAAAGGAGAAATGACGCTTAAATGGAGAGTTGACTATGAAGATAAGAAGATACAGTTTCGAGTGGATTTTTCTGATAAAACTCCTCATATTAACTGGTTTGCTCTGGGATTTTCTGACAGAGGAAATATGGAGAACTCCGATGTTTGTCTCGTTTGGACAGATTACAAGGGCAAAGATCATTTTGAGGTAAAAAAAATTAAATATCCTAAATTATTATTAACCATATTACATTTTCTAGTTAAATGTGGAATTATAATTTTAGGACATGCATGCTGATTCAAATGGAAGATTAATAAGGGACAAACAACAAGATTGCAAACATTTTTATGTCAATGCAAGGACTCGTAGCTTACATTTTGAACGAGATTTTGATACCTGCGACGATGATGATTATTTTATTGAGGTATCTACAACTTGTTTCAGGACGCAAATATGATAAAAGACTTTGTAGTATTTTAACCTCACATTGTTATAGGACGGAACAGTTCATATAATATGGGCTCGTGGGACCGATAAACTATTCTCATCCAAAGGGCTCTGCCTACCCTGCACTTCTACTCAGGATCGCAGCTTCATTCGCGTCCGTTTGCTGACAATACCAGGGATGTCATTGACATCGCACATATCAGATGCACAGGAATTACGTTTCACTACACACAATTTGAAGGTTCCTAATACAGACACAACGTATTGGTGTAAAGTATTTAAACTGCCCGATTTCGTAGCGAAGACCGAACATCACATTGTGAAGGTATATTTGTTTTTATTCTTTATTCTATTTCTTTAAAAAATACAGACATGTTATTGAATGTGTACATACTGGAATGACATTAAAAATTAAGAAACGAAGTCACTAGTCAGGGAGTAAAAAGACTTTTCTAGATATGAACTGCTTATTTATGTAATAATACTTCCAGTTTCAATCGGTCATAACCAAAGGTAACGAAGGATTAGTTCATCATATGGAAGTGTTTTATTGCGACGCAAAAACTGACGCTGAAATTCCTTTATACGAAGGCAATTGCTTCGCTAAGGAAAGACCAGAAACGACAAAGTTATGTTCTAAGGTTTGTTGTGATAATAATTTGTGTTTTGTAATAAATATAAATTATCTGAGAATAAGTTCAAAAATATTATTTTTAAAGGTTAAAGCTGCTTGGGCCATGGGTGCACCACCCTTCATATACCCGAAAGAAGCGGGATTGCCGTTTGGAGGACCCTCTGCTAACAAATATGTCATGCTTGAGGTGCATTATAATAATCCTGAAATGTTAGATGGTATGTTCGAACTTTTTTTTTTTTTTTTTTTTTTTTATGGGAAAAGGGGGCAACTGAGCAGACGGCCTACTTGATGATAGGTAGTTACCGTCGCCCATGGACATCCGCAACGCAGATTTGCGGATGTGTTGCCGCCCTTGATTGGGGAAAAGGTGGGAAAGGGAGGGAAAGGAGAGGTTGGGAAAAGGGAAAGGGCAACCGGCTCTCTCACTCACCGGACGAAACGCAGCCTTTAAAGACTACTTTACGCCGATTTTCTGTGAGAGGGTGGTACTTCCCCGGTCGAGCCAGCCCATGTTCGAGCTGTAGTAAATTGACTACAGCTAGGCTCTACCACCACAGAAAACTTGTTAAATTCTATAAAAAAGCGTAACAAATTTTATTTATTTTCAGAAGATGAAATCCAGAGTAAATGTACATAATGAAACTGATTAGTTTGCTTAATTCAATGCTTGTATTACATTGAATAAATGAGCTTTAAATTATAGAGATTTTTTTGGTTTTTATTCACTAGATTGGGTGGATAGTTCCGGAATTCTTTTATCCATAACGGACAATAAACGAAAGTACGACGCTGCGATTATGGAATTGGGGCTCGAATATACTGATAAGATGGCCATCCCTGGAGGACAAAAGGCTTTTCCTTTGACTGGATACTGCATTCCACAATGTACTGGAGTGGTATGTAATTTTACTTATATATTGAATTATTAATTTATCTTTTTTAGTTCTCTCAATAAAACCGTTCGGTGGTTAACTCGGCATAAGACGTAAGTTATAGTTTAGACATTTCTAAAAACAACTTTCTACAAAAATGCCCAAATAATTACTATCACTAACATAAGTTAGTCGAGGCCGTTATTATTGAAATTAAGATACCAAATCCAGCATAATTTGGGATCCTAGCAGCTTGCGTTATATCTTGCAGAATCGCGTTATGTATACCTTTTTTTTATACACCTAAAGTATATAGTGTTGCGACATATAGTTGTGCGATTCGAGATTCCTTTATTACTAAGATCCATTATAACGACACACGCTTAAGAGATCAAAATCCTCACGAATAATTAGAATTTCGCATCATCTTTTACCTAATGCCATTTCATATTCATTCATAGATTCAATCCCTGATTATTTTATACTAAACATGTCAAAGGATAATTTGCACTTTACTCAGAGAAAATCTCTTTCTTAGGGTCTCCCATTATCCGGTATCATGGTGTTTGGCAGTCAGCTCCACACTCACCTGACTGGCGTGGCGGTGTGGACGAGGCACGCTAGGGCCGGCATCGAACTACCCCACCTCAATAAAGACCTCCACTACTCAACCCACTTCCAAGAAATACGATTACTACATCGTCCTGTGGAGATACTGCCGGTAACTACCACAATACCTTTCAATGACAGGTTCATTGAAACCTTTTTTTTATATATTTTGTTTATTTGTAATCCAACAGCGTTACAGTAATTTTAGAATAGTAACAATATAGCCATAAACAAGGCCGATTTACCTAATAAACTAATAAACCCTATTTACAATTTGCAGACATTTCAAATATTGGCGACTATAGAGGAACTTGTTACTATTTTTGTTCATAAATAGGACAAAAGAAAAAGTGTTTAAGACAGCCGTCTAGGAAATTGTTGAGATATTTATAAATTGGTTCCAGGGAGATTATTTAGAAACAACGTGCATATATAACACTGAAGACAAGATAAACGCTACTGTCGGCGGACACGCGATCACAGACGAGATGTGCGTTAATTACATCCACTACTACCCAGCCACAGAACTAGAAGTCTGCAAGAGCGCGGTTTCCAATAAGGCGTTGGAAGACTATTTCAAGTTTGAAAAAATGTGAGCACGTACTTGAAAACTGTTAAAATATGCTTATCATAAAAATATGTGATAATAATATTTCCTGATCAATCGACTTGATTGTAAGAATTAAAAACACTTATATTATTTGAGAAGTGCTATTTTATAAAATCTGGAACCTTCTACAGTCTTGAACAAACTAATTGAAATGCAGTCGTATTGATAAGTTGTAATTCTTTAACATTTATCTATAGCATCTTCTTTCAGTTGGGACAACATGCCCATATCGTTTTCATCTCCACCCAGAGCCAACTACCTCGCTATTCAACCATGGACTCCATTAAGGTCTAATGCTCTCAACGAACTGTATACTGAGTCGCCTATATCTATGCAGTGTAATAAATCAGATGGAAACCGCTTTCAGGTATTTTCCTTTTGTAATAACTAAATTCTCGTTCTATATAAGCTACAAGCGAATGAAGCGAAGAGAAAATTTTATTGGCAAATCAGGAATTCATCCATGGAGATGATTTCCGACCGACGAACTCCCGATCGAGGTTTTTTTTAGACTTGTTTTTACCAAAAACAAAAATTTGAACGGACCACCAATTTCAATTTTAGGGCCGGAAAATGGAACCCATATCTTAAAAAAAATGGTTAGGCACCGAAACGTTGAAATTAGTTGATTCAACTTGCACCGAGAGCTTTTTTCAAGCAAAACCAGAAAAAAATACGAATGTGCATCTCCATATATTTTTTATTTTCATTTCTATGTTACGAGTACTTTGTAAATTTATAATATTTATTTTATAATATATTGAATGTTACTAATATTCCAAATGTTTTAAGGTTTCTATGCGGATATTATAATAAAAATTTTAAATTCCATGTGATTTTTACAGGGAGAATGGGAAGGACTTCATGTGTCAAAAATAAAATTGCCATTGCCTGAAAATCCGAGATCCTGTCCAATACAGCGTAATGTATTTAAAAAGTAACGATTATCTGTTTATGAATAAAACATATTCAATATGCATTAAAGTTACAAGTTATATAATTAATGTTCTTATATAATTGTTATCGGTGTAATATAATTCTCTTAGTATAATGACTCCATTATCATAACATAAGGAATAATCAGAAAAGATTTCTGTAATTACGTTGGCACTGCTGCAGTTTGTTATTTATGCTAAAAATAAATGTATTCAAAAGTTTTTGTATTTCAATTTACTTGTTCAAAATATTGGCTGCTATAAACATGGTTATTATAAAATAAGTGAAGTTTTTTTAAAAGTTTGAACCAAACCCCATACATATTTTAATGTATCCGATCTCATACGTGTAGAATAAATTAATAATAATTAAATTTTTTAAAGGTCATTAAAATATATTTAATCTTAAGAATATCATTTTTTATAATTACACCTTAAGTAAAAAAGACTTTGTTTTTCCTTTTCAATATTTCTTTTTTACAAATGGTTAATAACTAAATCAATTTTAAAAAAAACACTACACGTCCATCTTCATTTTACGATTATACTGATATATACACTTAATTGAGTAAGTGTTAGCCTAAAATTCCTTATATAATTTCGGTGAAAAACTGATACTATTCATAGCTCAGACCAACCGAAAAGAAACTGGTTTTCAAATGGAAAAAAGTTCATGGGAATCAGTGCATTCGTCTGAGAATTATGACGCTACCAACATATACATATACATCAATATACACTGATATCGAAATCAGACTTACGACAACCATCCTTTTGTGTAGCTGATTAAAAATGCTTTAAGAGTCCCTACAATAAGTAGATGTAGTGCAGAAACTTATGAATTGTTGTAAAATGAAAGTGTTGTAAAATGCAGAAGCAAAACTTCTTATAAGTTAATTAAATGTTTTGTCTAAAGTTTACACATGTGTGAGACATGAAAGAATAGAAAGCTTAAATATCCCATACTTAAAACATTCACCCCTTTACATAACTTAGTAAGCTTTATAAATAAATATTTTAATGGCAGCACAGTATGTAATTGTCACATGCCAAAACGTGACACTACTAGCGCCCTCTTATGTGATGTATTTTTTTATCATATTCAGTCAGATTTATCAATCGTCGCTTTCATTACACTTAGTGAACTTTTGTGCTATTTTCCTTGTTTCACTTAAATTAAGTTTTTAATTATTTTATGTATCGTATGTTTCGAACTTCTCTTATTTCTTGTTTCGTTATTGAATTAAACTAAATTCACGGTATTTCTAACATAAACATTAAAATGTCTAGCGACAATGGTTTTAACAACGATGATTCTCCAAACAAATCCCACACACATTTGCAATTGCCCAGCCCTATTATAACTCGAAGAAACCGAACAGCTTCGACGTGAGTTTATACTTTTATTGAATGCTAAGATTATTGAACTTAATTAACATTAAATTTATATTACATCTCGATTCAGATCAGAAAAGGCACTTCAGAACCCCATAGAATACGGCAAGATAAAATCATTTTGCCGTGAGAGAGGCCATGGATTTGTAACTCCACTAAAAGGCGGAGAAGATCTTTTCCTACATATTTCTGAGTAAGTGTAACTAATTAAGTTTCCTCTTTGCAACTTTCAGCATTTTTATAGAACTAGTTACTTCAGTTAATATATGAAGACAAGGAAAATCATTATTATAACAATTACTTAATCTAAAGTTAAACAAGTTTGGATGAAAAGATCTGGATTTAATTCCTGTTGCAATTCTTAAAGAAATGAATTCTAAATAATTATTTCAGCATTGAAGGGGAGTATGTGCCGTTGCCTGGTGATGAAGTTACATATCGCCTGTGTCCAATACCACCAAAATTTGAAAAATGCCAAGCTGTACATGTCCAGATTGTCCAATTAGTCAGAGAAAGGCATTTAAAGTGGAATGAGCCACCTCTGTAATGTGTAATTTCAATATTAAGTTGAAGTATTACTATGTATTCTAAAACCATTATTATCATTTGCTCTCCCACACTAGCCATTAAATTTAAGAGGCCTAAACACATGTTCTACATGCATCTGACATGTGATAAACGATTGAAACATGTGTAATACAGTATTTTAAAGATAAGATGTGGTGCTAAATTTTTGAAGGTTTTACCATCTTGTACGAATTTGATAATTATAGTTTCTCAAACACAATCTTGCGGCACAAATTAGAAAATACAATTTTCACATTAGCATAGTATTTGTTAACGGCCTAAGTAAATATCTGATGTGTGTTTGGTATGTATTTTAGAATAATACAAGTGATAATTTTAAGTGTTTTTAGTGGCTGAGGTTACTTTACTAGCTTCTTACAGTCAAATGAGAATATTACTTATTATTTTCAATACAATTATGTACAAGTAATTATAAATTATTTTTCGAAGTATATATTTTAAACTCCAATACAATGTAGTATGACGTCCTGCTTGTTGTGATTATGTTATATATAGCTTTATGACAAACATAAATACAATGAAATAAAATGTGTAAGCTTTTAACAGTGTTTTATTTGTCCAAATAATTCTTAATATTATTATCATTATCATCTTAATAAGTCTGACAGAAAGTAAGATTAAGATTTATATACTACTTTCAATGATAATTTTTATTTTTAGGTCATCCGCTGGGTTATCGTAATATTTTTATAAAGTAAACAATAGTTTTGTGTCAAATTCGTGACTGACAAAAATTATAAAACAAAAACAAATTCATTGTAATTTAAACCTCGTTGACGCACTTGTTCTACAGGTTTATCATGTGTCATAATGAGCCTCGGCTCGGAGCTCGCTCCAAGGACACATTTATTATCATGAAAATAAACACATTATAATAATGTTACATATTCTATCGTTATCAAGCACTTAAAATGGTGATACAGATAAAAAAAAATGAAGAAATGATTGGATTTTTTTTTAATCCACAAACATATTAGCGTGAGCTGTGCCTAATTATTTTTTATTACTGAAGCGGTTATAGTACGATAACGTTTTGTAATGCAGCCACACGCTTGATTTTTTCAGTCACGAGTTTTAATAATGGAAGATGACTCAGATTTATGCATATCTTGATCTCAGTAACTATAATTAATTCTACAATAGATATACATTTTTCTTTGATTGAATAGGTATATTTTTTGAATAAAAACTATTCTCGTGTAAGCGAATAATATTAATAAAATAGAGAGCACACATACCATTAAGCGTAAGTTGATAGGAAAAAACTTAAACACAAATTTCGTTAATACTTTTATTAGTAAATAAACTAATAAATTATAAATATTACATTATCGATTACAAAATTCCTTTAAATTTAAGATTCTTATAAGTTACATGATATAGTCTATATTTTAATGATTTATATGGAGTTCAAAAAAAACCAAAAATAACATTAGCAAACTGTAGACAACTTAAAGCTTATATAAATATATTTTTACAGATTGATAGTAAAGTAAATCATTAACGATGATGCCAGTATAATTTCGGTAAGAATTGAATAAAAGTAACAAAATAATAAATCTTCTATATTTTCATGTATTTCTAAACACTCATTGAACACATTTACCTACAATTATGTAATTGATATCATCGAGTCATAATTTAATGCCATTATATTTGGAATGGACTGTTGTCAATGGTTTAAAAATGGAAAACATATTTCTATGTTTACAGGGCACAAAAGTTACTAAAGTAATAATAAAATTATAATTCCATCCGATTTAAACCTATCTTTTGGTTGTCTTGAAATATAGATAAATCAAATAAAAATATAATAAACTAATAAAAATGTTACAAATCTTCATACAAATAATTCGTTGATCTCAGTATTATTATGATTGGGTCGATTTTTTTTACAGAATGTCATATTGTCATGGGTTTATTTATTTTCGTTATAAACACTGGCCAGTTTCATTCATCGCCATTTGTTATCGTTCCGTTCTGAAAAAAAATGTTTATCGTAGATTAATTCTATTGTATTAAAAGAATAAAAATATGTTTTTTGGTAAGTCGATTATTGAAAGAATTAGCAACTATAATTTTAATAAATATAATTAAGTACATGTATGAAATATTTGAAATATTGACGTAGTTATCTAAGTACATATGGACCTAATTATTTTATTTAGTTTTAAACTTTAACCTTTATTATAGACTGACAGATTCTTTTAATGCTTTCTTTAAAAGGAATGGAATCGAACTTAAGTAAGGTTAGAAGTTAGAGAACATAAAGTTTGAAAACTAGATGTCAAACAAAAAAAAATGTAACTCAAAACTGTATGGTTTTTAAAATTCTGTAATTAATATCAAATATTTATAATATAAAAACTCTTTACAATGAACCTTATAACGTTGGCAATACTGTTCAATATACTATATATTACCTCGTTCATCTGTGCCAGGTGGTAGTGTCTCTTCCTCAGAGCAGATAGTCTGTTCCTCTCAGCATCCAGAGCACTCTCTAGTTCTAACGCACGTACTTTGCTCTCCATTTCCAGTCTCCGGGTAGCGGTCAGTGAAAGATTCGAAGTATCCAAGGTTTCTGATGAACATACAAATAACGATATAAACAATACTTATACACTTATTAACTAAGTTAAGTAATATTAAAGTTTGTAGGTATATAAAGCTGGTGTATAGTTTCCTAGGGTTGTAGTAAACATAAATGAATTAAGTAATAGTAATGATTGATGTATGAAGTATTGCTAGGGTTGTAATTAAAGTAAATGTCAAGAAGATCATATTGTTAATGTTAACTAAAATTATATCAGCTCTCCCAATATGTTATTTCATTCCACACATCTTCAACCACCATCTCTTCGAATATCTTTAGCCAGGGTCTGCCTTAAATGTTGTGAATAGTTTTAGCTTTTTGTTTTCACGACCGACCGCATGCCTGACGTCAATCCTCTTTGGGAATACATTAATCAGTGATGTCTAAATACTCCTAAAAAGTACATGTGACTCGGAAAAATCACATTGGTACTTGTCAGGGCCAGGATCGAACCCGCGCTCTCGAGGCGGACCTCTTAGGGAGCGTTCAAGTATTACGTAACGCAATTTTGGGGGGGGGGGGGGGGGGTCCTCGTAAAACGTTACGATGCGTTACTGGGGCGGGAGGGGGTGTCTCTTACAAAACGTTACGTAGCATTGTTTCTAAAAAAATATTAATAAAAACCCCCAAACTGGCAACTCTTTTCATATACATTACATTGTTGACCAGATTGTAGTAGTCTGGTCGATATTTTTATTTGTTATTCCAAGTTTGTAAACCTCATAATTGATATTTTACGGGGAATACCTAGATTGCATTGTAAGTCTTTTGATGAAATTGATCACTTGAGTGTTACGTAACGTTTTGAGAAGGGGGGGGGGGGCTACAGAAAACGACGGGGGAAGAGGGGGTCAAAAATCTTCGAAAATTGCGTTACGTAATACTTGAACGCTCCCTTAACCACTAGGCTACCAGTGACTAGACCATCTCTTTTAATATCTCATGTACTAACCCTGATCTCTAACTAGCGCGGAGGCGCCCCTGACAGCGGCTACTACAGCACCAGTGGCGGCTGCCACAGCCCTAGAAGCAGCCGTGAGTCTGGCGAGCGCTGGCGTGGCGGGCTTTGCCTTAGCCCTGGAAGCAGCCACTAACTGCGCAGTACTGCCCGCCACTTCATGGGCCGCCGCTGACACACCTTCAACACGACCAGCCGCGCCCACAGCCTCGTCCGCTGATGATCTGCACATACAAAGAACGAAATAAATACAAGCAACAACCCCCTTTTAAATAAATAAAAAATACTTTATTACCAGCAATAACTCAATGTTAACAGGGAACACAATTACAAACATAACAATATTTTGCTGAAGTGACAACATGGCGCGATTTCCAGGAGCGTCATCACTAAGCGAGTTTGTGTCGTGGATGCCTTATTTACGATTAACAATAACAAGTTTCACCTACGGTAGATGGCTTTTTATTAAATTTATTTCTTAAGGCAAACACAACAGGTCACAATCACATAGAGAATATTTCTTAAACATTAATAGTATCGAACAGATTGTAACCCTAAGGGTGCATGCACAACATGACAGGATTGCCAATTATTATGCAGGAGATAACTATACAGGGTGACTGGTGAATTACTATCGAAATTTAAGGAGAATACTCGGTACATGATTCTCATTCGAATTATGTAAAAAAAAAATGGTACTTAATTTTTGACCAAATTTCCGTATAAATAAATAAAGTGTGGACACGTTCCAAGTGTTCCAAGTGTGGGCGCGTGCGGCGGCGTGCTGATACAACGCCGCCGCACGCGTGTGTGTGCGTGTGTGTATACCTAATCTGTAGGGTGTTCACACGATGCGTAATTAATTACATAACTTTTGGTTAACTTTACTTAGAAGTTTATTAATATTTATGTTATATTAATTTTTATTCTGTCATATATAATCGTCAAATATCACGTCCTCAAGTATTGATAATAATTCATCAGTCACCCTGTATATTAGTACTAAACAAAAAAAAGACTAAAATAATTTTCTTTATAAAGATGTTACAAATGGCTCAAAAGTATTAAATCTTAAATATAGAACGAAAGATACAAATAGAATAGATAATATAAGGCAGGTACATATAAATAGTTAAGGAATGATAGAAAGATGTATGCGGAACGAAAGGCCATCGTGATTGATAGAACTGGAATGAAAGTGAAATTGCAAACAAGGTCCTTGACCATGTCAGGGAAAGTCGGAAAAAAGACCTGTACATACAACACCGAATACAATATTAATTCATTTTTGGTATAGTTCGGACATTTTGGGCGTTAATAATTTTTAATTATGCAAAAAAATATGTGTTAGTATAGTCGAATATTTAGGTCATATCTGTGTGAATGAGATTTAAAACTGAAAATTTATTATTTAAAAAAATTTATACATGATAAATCATGATTCCAAATATGAAATTTATTTTTTCAATCAAATCTTTAAATGTAAACCAATCTATTGACTCCTTATATACATATAGAGCTTTTTAAGTCTATAAATGACCGTTGAAGACCTGTAACTATACATTATACATATGTATGTGCAAAGTTAATAGTAAAGTTGTAGTGAATAAACACCCTAAAAATATCGACTTACACAAGCAGCTTAGCCGCGAAGACCACAGCCTTGGAAGCAGATATAAGTCCCTCCGACCACTGAGGGTTTCTACGGTACATGTTCTGTCTGGTCTTGGGGTCGCCGAGCTCATTCTGTAGTTTCCTTGAATCTTGGACCAACACTTTAACAGCAGCCATGAGTGTCGTACACGCGTCCAATATCTTCCCATTCACTTCCAACTTGACGCCCGTGTCACCAGCACGACTTGCGGCTAACATGTCCTAAAAATAGATTGTTAATAAATCATAGACAATTGCTTATGTTAGTAATTTTTTCTTAAATTAAAGGTATGATATGACTTAGGGCTATTAATCATGTAAAAGTCTTTTAATTTAATGCTAATATAGGGACATGAAGATGTTATATCATATATCAAAGTGGTTTCCAAAATTATTTTGTCAACTGCCCAATTTAAGAGTAAATTATTTTTGACGCTGGCATTTTTTCACCTACTGAAAAACCACTACAACTTATTCTAGTTAAATCAAGTCATAAATCACCCTAAGATTCTACACAACGCCAAATTTTTCTGGGTCTCTTGTTTCTTCCTTTTAGGCCTACAACGCTTTAAGAAAGTCGTTATAGTCTACTTTGGGAAACACTATATCAATATCAATTTAAGATGACTATGAAGCGTCGTATAGTCCACTTTGGGAAACTCTGCTATATCCATATCAATCTAAGATGCCTATAAAGCGTCGCATAGTCCACATTGGGAAATACTATATCAATATCAATTTAACATGCCTATGAAGCGTCGCATAGTCCACTTTGAGAAACTCTGCTATATCCATATCCGATATACCTATAAAGCGTGCCATCCTACCTCAATCTGTTTGGCCGCTACTTCTATAGCCCTGTCCATGTCAGCGAGCTCGTCATCCACGCCCCTAGTGTCAGTGACGTCATCAGCCGCGGCTCGCGTCATCCTGGTGACACTGGCTCCGGTTGCCAGACACTGCGTCACGTCTATGACACCCGTCGATAGATTCTCTAGACACTGCTTCGTGTTCGACAACATCGTGCGACAGTCGTTGCTCAGTTCTAAAGGAAACGTAAATAAAGATTAATATACATACACATAAAATATATTATTTGGTTTTGGACATTAAGAAATTTCTAAATAGCATGAAGTACTCTTGCCAGTGTAATTATGTAATAAAATATGCTACACTAATGTAAAACATGAAGCCTTTCAAAGTTATCTATCAGTTTGCCTATCACTATAATAAAGTTGTATTATTCTGCACTTCCATATTTAGAAACTGGCGTTAAGGGCTATATTACAGAACGAGTTGTTAGTTTACTATATAAGAATTGATATACTTTCGACTGAAAACTCATCACGTGCTTTATACTTGTATACATAATATACTTTTTATACCAGCATTTATCATTTAGAACATTCCGACTAAAATTACAAGAGACACTTATAATTGTATTGCCAATATCAAATCAGTTCCTAGATAATACTTAAGTCGAAGTTTGAATAGAAAATAGGCAGTAAAAAAAACGGACGAAACGCAGCCATTAAAAGCTACTTCACGTCGATCTTCTGTGAAAGTGGTACTTCCCCGGTCGAGCCAGCCCATGTTCGAGTTGTATTAACTAGACCACACAGGCTTTACCAACTTAAAAATCTTAATCTTATTTAAATATGCATGTATATAGTGTATGTTCATACTTTCAGCTAACTCCATGTCCGTGGTGATGTTGGTGACGTCACTCACGTAGTGCGACACCCGCGCCGTGTTGTGAGCCGCTGATAGGACGCTCCGCGACACTAGCTCCTCGTTGCCTTCCAACTGGATCATAAACAATGTATTAAGATATCATTGGTTGATGTGAAATATATCGAGAACGAAATATATCTTGAGATATTTTTATGGTAATAAATCCCTACTAATATTATAAATGCGAAAGTAACTTTGTCTGTCTGTCTGTTACGCTTTCACGCCTAAACCAGTGAAATGATTTTAATGAAATTTGATACAAACATAGAGTTGACCTTGAGAAAGAACATAGGATAGTTTTTATCACAGACTTTTGAAATGTTCTCTTGGAAACGCGATATAACCAAACTCCACGCGGGCGAAGCTGCGGGCGGAAAGCTAGTAAGGATATATATAAAGTACGGGTTAAGAAAGTAATCTAATTTTCAGTACATTTCTCTGTAAGGTTTGTTTTTTATTCATGTTTCTGACACAACTTTTAGTCTTACTCTTAATAAATAATAATTTGGTAGCCGGTCATTAAACGTGATTTTTAAAATGTGTTGTTAATTTTTCATCGTGGAATTTAAATATTTTGGAAAACAATTTTATTTTTAAAGCTTCGTTAGTTAATGCTTTAGATTTAACAAACAGATTTTGGCGAAACTGTGTCTTCAACAGAAAATCCATTTTCTTACACCGATTATACAGGGTGACTGGTGAATTACTATCAATATTTAAAGAGAATACTCGGTACATGATTCTCATTCGAATTATGTAAAAAAAATAGGCACTTAATTTTTGACAAAATTTCCGTATAAATAAGTAAAGTGTTGACACGTTCCAAGTGTTCAAGTGTGGACGCGTGCGGCGGCGTGCTGATACAACACCACGTCGCGACACGTCTATGTGTGAGTGTGAGTGTATACCTAATCTGTAGGGTGTTCACACGATGCGTAATTAATTACATAACTTTTGGTTAACTTTACTTAGAAGTTTATTAATATTTATGTTATATTAATTTTTATTTTGTCATATATGATCGTCAAATATCACGTCCTCAAATATCGATAGTAATTCACCAGTCACCCTGTATAAAAAAAAGGTGTTGAAATAAAATCAACTTAATTGAAAGAAAACTAATATATATAAAACGATTAAACGGACTACTAACGAGTTGTTAGAAATACGTTTTAAGTTAGATTCCAATTTTTATATTTAAGGAATTTGCCACGACCGCTCGCACGCACACACACATACATATATGTACTATGTTATATTTACCTTATGTTTCCTGGCGATTGTTTCAAACGCCTTAGCCGCGTGTTCGCCGGCTTTTTTGTTGGAATCTTGAGCGTTCGAGTTCTCAAACGCCGAGATCGCCTCATTCGTTATATCCAAGGCAGCTTCAGTGGCACATGCCAATATCTTACTAGCTTCTGATTATTAAAGAAAATCAGTTAATTATAGAAAATACATATATTATTTATCATATTATATTGACATATATAGTACATATATTTATTAGATGACCCCCCTCCCCATACAATACCGATATTACAATACGTAATAGTATATATCTCACGTTTCTTGATGAGCTGGTCCTTTTCGTCTAACTGTATCTTCAAGGCCATCAGATCGGCCTCCATAATCGTATTCTGCTGCAACAGATCCTGTAATTCACATTCGGCGGTGAGTCGTTCGCTCTCCGTGTGCTCTAATCTAGCCTCGGTCAACTAAACCGTTTAATGTACTTAACGCAAGGCCGGTCCGTAGAAGTCCATGCAGATGAGGCGGGAAGGAGGCAGAAAGAAAAAACATGCGATTAATACATGCAACAGAAAAAAGATTATATATAGAGAAGCGTTAAGATCGGACAAACACAACTTTAGTAGCCACTATAGATAGCAAAGATTCGAATAGAAAATATAGAATGAAAGATTCATAGCCACTAGCATTAGCAGGAATCGAACCTAAGACCTTTGCGGTAGCTTTACCAAAAAAGCTGTTATCCCTAACTTTACTTGGTTAACGAAGCTTGCTATATATTTTAACCACACCCAAGTCCAAAACCATAACCAAAAACCCGCTTCAGACGCCACCTATGTTAGTCTAACCTGTATATTTTTCTCTCTCTCAGACATAGACCTAGTCAATTCCTGTCTCTCTTCAGTTCGAATTTCCGTCAATTTTGCAACCTCAGCTTTTAATTTCTCCAAGTCTTTGTTAGCTTTAGCCAATGTTATATCTTTGTCTGCAATCACTTTGTTCAATTCGATCTCGTTTAATTCTAATTTGTCCGTCAGTTCTTTTACTATATTATCTTTATTTATTTCCATTTTAATAACCGCGGCCTGTAGATTATCTATTTCGCTTTGTAATGTATTCTTCAAGGTAACGTTTTCTCTTCTTGCCTTTTCAATCTCAGCTGTTAATTCGTTTTCCTTATTCTGTAGTTCTTTAATTGATTTTTGTAGTCCCTATCACAAATATATTAAATATGATACATTTATATTTTTATTAAATAATTTAATCTTGTCAACAAAAATGAATTTTTAAAATTTTAAAATAGTATATTTATATGATAAGTGATAACCAACCTGATTTATTGATAGTAAATTATTTCTCTCGTGTAATGTTTCGTCTCTTTCAACAAACAATTTTTCTATGTCAGTTCTAAGTGATTCTATATTATCATCTTTGATACGTAGTCTAGATTCAAAATCTGTTTTCAATTCTTCTATATTTTCTTTTAGTCTCGTTACCTCCTTTACTTTCTCTGTTATTTCCTTGTCAAGTAAGTTTCTTTTTTGTCTCTCTTCTTGTAATTGTTCGTCTAACATATTATTTAACGTATTTATATTTTCAAACTCTATGATCGAATTTTCTTTATCTTTCTCGAGTATATTTATTTTATTGTTGAGTGTGTCTATTTCTTCATTCTGTTTGTCTATGGTCGCTTTCGAAGTTTCGATATCGTTCTGAAAGTTTTCTATCTGTGTTTGTAACAAACTTAGTTTATCTATGGCCTCGTTTACTTCTGTGTCTTTTTTATCCAATATAACTTGCAACTCCTCATTTTTGGAATTCAATTCTTCGTTCAGTTTGCGACATTGAGAATCGAAATTATTTTGAGTTTCGGTTAATTTTGATTTGAAATATTCTAAATCGGCTTGCAAATTGTTAGTTTGGATTATGCGTTCCTAGTAACAGATATTAGTATTATCACATCTACTACAAATTAAACTACCATGCATTGTTAGTATATATCTACATCTAATCTAGTGCATGCAATGTTAACTATACCTTAATCTATATCTAATCTATTGAAGTAATACTAACCTCTCTTTCCTCTTGATACTGCGCTTTCATTTCAGCCAATTGCTTCAAAGCCTCTTCTTTATCTTTAATCGCTGTTTTATATTCGTCACCACTCTTCTGTAACACAGCTGTTAATTCTTCTTTAGTTCTACTCAGTTCTTTGTCCTTTTCTTCGTAATCTGCCTTTAACTTCTCTAAACTCTCAGTGGTATCTTTCAAGTCGTTAGTGAGAGCTGTAAGTTTGTCTTGTTGTACTGTTTTGACTGTTTTGTGTTCAATCTCCAGAGCTTCGAAGTTAGTATTCAATGTTTGTAGTTCAACTTCTTTCTGTCTCGCCTGTTCTAATTCACTTCTTAGGTTAGTGAGTTCAGTTTTATAAGCTTCAACTTCTTCACTAGATGACGCCTTCTGTTGCAAGAGCTCGACGTCTCTGTGAACAAATGTCACTTGTACTACATTATTTGAGAGTATTATATGTTTTTTGTTAGAAAACTTTATTTTTTCTCGAACGACACACTTTTTGTACAATGTACAACCAAAGGATATATCAAAATCGTACGATATATTTTATATGCAATTTTATTACTCTGCGAACGAATTTTACTTATACTGGAATTAACTACCAGTGATTATTCTATATTTCTCTATAAGAATCCCATACAAATCAGTTTTTTATTCGATTCAGTTTACCAGATTCATGTATTCCTTTCTGTATCAACGAATGCAGCAAAAACTATATAAAATATTAACACTATACTTAAGACTTAGTATTTTTAATATCTTTTATATAACACTTGTATAATGAACATTCCTTACTTCATTCGATCGTTGAGTTGTTGCTGTAACAGACTGGTGGCGCCCTCGTGCTGAGCGGCCTCGCCTCGCAACTTTGACGCGAGCTTGTCCACCTCGGCTTTCTATACAATAATAACTATTAAATAACTTCAAATCGAAATATTTGTTAAAATTTGATGTTCACGTTTAAAATGTTGTATATTTTTTACTATAGTTAGCAATTTCACGGCCTTTGTTGCTCAAAGAATATGAAAATAGAAAGTTAGTCATATGATTATAAATTATACCAGATGATGGAATTAACTAGAATTCATTTCCTTAATAACTAGGTTCACTTTGACCCAACCGTCAACAGTTAATTTATAATTTTTTCTCAGAATTCGGTTATGAGTTCTTATATTGTATTCATAACTATTTGTTCACCTGTCTTATCAAAGTTATATGTTCTTCCCTCAGCTGCGTGTAAGCTCCTTTTAACTTCTGAAACTTTTCATCTATGACCTTTGCCCTATCCTCGGTATCCATCAATTTTTCTGGAATAATTATTTACTGTATTAATTAAACTAAGATTTTACTAACACTGTGACATTACCAAGTCTTTAATTTACAAAGTGGAGGAAAAATGCATTTATAGATTAACCTAAAACTTTAAGGCCTCGGCCTCGAATTTTGCGGGCAGCGGAGCGGCAGCGGGAGCGGCAAGATCTTACGCGTATAATCAAATGGACCGACCCTCGAATACAGCGGTGCCCGCTGCCCGCTAGTTTGGAGAATAGTATGCGTTTCCGTGCCGCCGCCGCTGCCGCTCCGCTGCCCGCAAAATTCGAGGCCGAGGCCTTAGCCTTTTATGTGACATTTCTTTTAATACACAATTTCATCTAGAGATGGTAGAAGGGTAGACCCTTACCACTGGTTTAATTCCTATGTACATAATATTTACGTTAATAGCATCATATGCGATATTTTATGAATAATTGGAGTGTACACGTATAATTTGTAGATAGAAAAACTAGTACTGACTTTACATCATATAAGATGGCTAAAAATGTTGCATTTCACTTTCAGCAATATAAAATACAACATTATCCATAAATTTAAGAACAATATATAATTCAGGATCAAGTATGCTGTTACATAGTACCAATATTATAAATGTAAAATTTTCAATAAATAATAATTTTAATGAAAATTTTGTATGTAATTCTCATATAGGTTTTCCTGTGGAGGAACCCAGGAATAAATAAATAAGGAACCAATCACACTAATATCAGTTTCTCACTTTTGATTTCCGGTGTCTCAGCCGCTAGATTTTCAGCCTTCTGCCTCTCATCCTCCAATTCAAACTGAAATTAAAAAATAAATAATTATTACATATATAAAATAAAACACATCTTATAGAAATATCAATGAAAATATTAAATTAAATATGATTTATATATACAGGGTGACTGGTGAATTACTATCAATATTTAAGGAGTATACTCGGTACATGATTCTCATTCGAATTATGTAAAAAAAATAGGCACTTAATTTTTGACAAAATTTCCATATAAATAAATAAAGTGTTGACACGTTCCAAGTGTTCCAAGTGTGGACGCGTGCGGCGGCGTGCTGATACAACACAACGCCGCCGCACGCGTATGTGTGAGTGTGTGTGTATACCTAATCTGTAGGGTGTTCACACGATGCGTATTTAATTACATAACTTTTGGTTATCTTTACTTAGAAGTTTATTAATATTTATGTTATATTAATTTTTATTTTGTCATATATGATCGTCAAATATCACGTCCTCAAGTATCGATAGTAATTCACCAGTCACCGTGTATATATTAGTATGTATTTTTTTTTAATTACCTTAACATTTTGCATCTGTGCCTCCAACCGTGTACAATGCTCTCTCATAGACCCCAGCATCGTGTTCCTCTCTTGTATTATCTGTGACACTTCAGATCTGCAAACAATTTTGTTAGACATATGTTTAGAAATAATATTTACATATAAAAGCTCATATGAACTAATATCTATACTATATTTACATCATGGGACATACGACTTGAAAATTGTATTAAAAAAAATATTTATTTTACAAAATTTCTTAATTCAAATACATTTAATAAATACCTAATTCAAATAATACATCAATAGATCCACCATTATATTTAATTAATGTATGTTTGTTTGATGGAACTATTTAATACATATATGTAATATATACTATTTTATATTGTATCATATCATATCATTATTATATCATATCATACCTCATCCGTTTAAGTTCATGTTGTAAGTGTTCAATGAGTCGGTCTCTCTCAACAATGGGATCTGGAACTGGTGAGTTGGTGCTGCGAGTATCAGTCACCTCAGTGTGCATCTGGCTCTGATATCATTATCATATCATTAACATTGATATTATTATTTTCATATCACATGAATCAGAGCATATGTAAAATAATTAAAACCTACTTGCTACTTTTGGAATTATGACAATTTTAAAGAGAATATAAATATTATTCATTTGTTTAACTATCTACCAAAAATTTAAGATATAATAAAAGTATGGAAACAAATTAACAATATTAGAGTCTAATTGAAAGCTAAATCTTTTCTCTGGAATTTTATTAACAAACTTGGAATCGTAAGCAAACTAATAAGATTAACACACATACCTGACTAACTGTGTCAGAAGTATCTATAAGTGAACCGACAGCATCAACCTCATCTGGAGGAAGTTCAGGGATTGTTACCACCGGTGTGACGTAAGTACCGAAGTCACTCTGAAAATTATTATTATTAATACATAACATATAAAGAAATTTTGATACTAAGTAAGATTAGTCAGTTTATTTATTTATTTTTATTTTTTGCTACACACATACATTACCTATATTATACAGTTATACAGAAGAAAAAAATTTAGTTTGTAGTTACCTGTTGCAGAAAATTTGGCGGATTGGAAGGCAGTACTGGCAATGTTAAAAGGTTTCTGTAGTATTGTAAACTGCTCGCGTGCTTGTAGAACGAACTCAACTTCTTGAATTGTGTCCTGAATCTGTTCAAAATACATTATGTTGCATGGAAATGTATGGTTATATATACGGCTGAGGTAAACCTAATATATTATTGAGATAGCTATCAAATTAATGGGGTACAAAAAGATTTTATTTGATTTTTTATTAGATAATTTGTTTTAAATCACGCAAAGATACATGCAAAGTAGTGATATCAATTGGATAATAATAAAAAAATTAAAATACTTAAATGTGCACAGGATACAACTACTATATAATCTAATAAGAAATCCAACATATAGCAAACTAAACCAAAAAGTCACAAATCATGAACATCAGCATGAGTATTAAATATAATATGACCATTAAACATCCTACTAATATTATTATTGGGAAAGTTTGTGAGTGTGTGAATGTTTGTTACTTCTTCACGCTCAAACGGATGAACCGATTTTGATAAAATTTTGTATACAGGAAGCTGACGTCCAGGTATAACACATAGGCTACTTTACATCCCGGAAATCCGCGGGTAACACCGCTAGGCGCAGCTAGTAAGCCAATAAAAGACATATACATATACATACACATATATATGTATATTCAAACCTCTCTCTATGTCCATCAAGCACGTCGGGCGGGAGCGAGGCGTGCAGTCTGAACATCTGTCTCACGATACAGTCGTATATATGAGAAGAGTCCTGCGCGCACGGAATGAGCGCCGCCAGTCGACACTGACCGCTCGCTGTCATGGAGTTAGCTCGAGCGTTACCAAGGCTGTCGAATACTGGGGAATTAAAATATTCATATCAGATTCCTATCATTGTACAAATTCATGGTAATTAATTTAGAATTCACAATGAACACATAGAATAACATTTGTAGCTTATAGACGGTTCTAGAAATAAACAACGCGTAGAATGTCATATTAATTCTAGAAGTTTCTAGAAGCTTCTGGTAGGATAGAGACTCGTCCCTCTAGTATCATACATCCCACTTGCAATTTTAAACAGATTAAAAATGTTATACAAAAAATGTATAGAATTAATTAATTATCAATGTGATCGGTAATCAGTTTTTTTGCGATTTTCAGGATATAGTATCAGTGTTGTCATGGCAACCATATCAGATGACAATTTAATTTGAGCTTCAAATTATGTTTTAGCGTTTATGGATAACGGAATATATACTACAGATAATAATTGTTTTTATATTAACAATACGAAGTTATTATAAGCGATGCTGTAGGCTAAAGGGATGTTTGTAATTACAGTAGGACCTCGATTATCCGGACTAATTGTTGTCGGTAGGCATCCGGATAATTGAAAGTCCGGATAATCCAATATATGAAGAAAAACGCGCTTTATGCATATGTACATATGTAGTCTGTACCATACATATGTAATGTTAGGTGTTTATTTAAAACAACAAATACATATGAGCGAAAATCAACGTTTATTTAGAAATTGCACATAATGTACGTATAAGTGTTATAAGTAGGGCCCGGATTAATATGTAAATACATATTTTTAATTTACGCGATTTTCGGTCTAGAATGTGTTTTTACATGGATTGTCATAGTTAGACTGTGAGAAACCAACTTTTATTTTCCATATTTTACCATATTTCAAAGTTAAGTCCATATTTTACAAGAAAACATAAAAAATAAAGGATTTAAAACGCTAAAAAATTAACAAAATTCTGTGCGAAAGTTTCGAGGGCTGTAGACATGGCTTACACAATTACTGAATTAAGTATGCATCCATCACGTCATGTGAGTGGAGAGGTCATACAGCAAATATAAGGCTATATTTCGACCAAATGGTCAGTTTTAATTTTGATAATTTAAAGAAGGACGTCATTGTGTATTGAAACCAATTTGATAAAGCTAGTGTAATGGAAGTTGAATAAAACTATTATTTTTTGTTGAAATAAATATTTCACTCCTTTTTTCATCGTTTTTTAAATGTTTCTTAACGATGTACGTCACGAGTGACCCTTTCTTATAGTAAAACAATGTTTAATTATGAAATTATTTAATTTTATACTCCATATTTTTTCCATATTTTTTTGATTTTTTCGTCCATATTTTAGGTACATATTTTAGATTTTTTAATACATATTTATCCGGGCCCTAGTTATAAGTGGCGTGGCGTTATGCAAGTTCTGACATGTTAATGTTAGAATAAACTCGTCGCGATTGGTAGTCCGGATAATCGCGAATTCGGATAACCGAGGTCCGGATAATCGGGGTCCTACTGTATTGTATATATGACGTATCACGTAACTCATTATATATTGTATAATAAATATTGCCAATGGAAAAAATTCTAAATAACCAGCCTCAAGTATAAATAAATTATGTAATTTATTACCAGCTGCTTGTAGTTGAAGAATGTCGTCCATGTAGTCGAAGAGTTCAACACACAACTGGAAGCTGAAACAATGAACATATAAATTAGTTTATATGTTTAAATGAAACTAATATTTTCGTATTAATTACGTTTCATTTCATTATAATTATATGTATATTATGTTGTGACAAAAATAATCAAAATTTCAGGAGTATTTAGTTTTCAAAAATAATAAAATGACATTTAGTATCCAAAAATATTGCTTTCATTTAAATGAATACTTGCGAAAGTTAGATCTCATTAGTTTCTATATTGTATTAAAACATATAAATATATATGGGTTTCTCTTACTAATTGTTCACATCATTCTCAGCTATAGCGTCCAACTCTTCCACAGTAAGCTGCATATTTCCAGGGAAGCGAGGGTTGCGTGCGTGGAACTTCAGTTTAGTCACCAATAGCTTGCAGTACAAGCTTATAAGACGACCGTAACCTTCACGAAGATGAACCTGTGGGTAGATGAATATTTTAATGTCGTCTGATCATAATTGCTGCAAAGTAACCGAAACCGAGTTAGTGGGTATGTAATGTAAAATAGTAAAAACGCGTAGTATATGCGACAATATTAGTTTTATTTCAATTAATACTCGTGAAAATTTTGAATATTATTAATTTTAGAAAATATAATAGTGAATAATTTATGTAGTATTATGTATCAAAACTTAGTCCTTCAATTTTGAACTTTAGAGATAAGTTCTTTTTTCTAGATAAACCATTCCTATAGGTAAATCTGGTGCACATATGTATGTATGTTCATACCCATAGCTTCCCCAAGTTCTCTATCATGTTAATATGCCGCTGCGAGTCATCGAGACAGGCGGGGTGACCCTCGCGGAGCAGCTTGTGTGTCACATGGCAGAACTTCCACGACACGATCCTGTTGTCCTGGAGAGGAAGACGGACTGCCACCATCTGGAAATGATACAGAAACATATCAATAGGTAGTCCAAAAAAGATTAGCCCAAGTTGGCCAATGGTTCAAGTTGGACAATTGTCCAAGTTGGCCAATGGTCCAAGTTGACCAATATCAGAAGTTGGACAACATCCCCAGTTAAATATCCCAAGTTGACCAATATTCCAAATTGGACAATGGCCCAACTTAATGCAATCGCTTATAACATCAATATCAAAGATAATATTATTTGTTATGATTTCATACCCAGTAAGTGACGGCGCTCTGTTCCTGGAAGGTTCCGATGATTGTGCTGCGGACATGTTTCTCTTTGACCGGCGTCTCTATAGAATTTATAGCCTTTTGAATTGCTAACGTCTGGAAAACACAAAATAATATTATTAATATATTAATTTAATGTAAAAATACTATTGAGCCAAGCATCCGTACTAAATACTAGGTATTAAATGGGATTTATTTCATTAATGATATTACGTTTTACGCTCACACGATGTACGTGAGATTATTTTTACTTAAAAATAACAGTAAAAACTTTTATATTCTATACCGTATAAAACTCATTTCAAATTTAGAACACGGCGTTTCGTTGCGTTGATCGCGCGCCATATTATTAGAACGGCGTTTGTAAACAAAGCCGATGTCAACAACCGTAGCGTTATTATGATCAGTAACATTGAAAAAAATGTTTTAGTTATAATACAGGTATAAAATTTTAATTATACATAATATGTTGTATACCTCACATACAATGCTTGGAATGAGTATTGGCTATACATTGGCTGTATAAAATATGCGCATTCCACACTTCAATTGCACAACATATTTGCTTTGTGTATTAAAATCTATATCTTATACGACCTATATTTTTTTATATATAAGTGGCATACATTTTCATTTTGAAACTAATCTTAGCTAATGGTCTGAGTAAAAAAAATTACTAATACTAGCGATGACATTAAATTGTATATAAAACTCTTTGTATTATTTATATTTAAATGACGAACGTAGAAATTCATTGCATAGGTATGGCCTTATTATTTAATAAATTACTGTAATGGAATTCTACCTTAATTTGAATTCTTTGTTGGTTCCAGCGCACATGTTTTCTTAGAACTATAACGTGTCATGTATTGTGTACTTTGTGACGTCACATTGTGAGTTCTCATATCAAGACGCTTCCATTTTCAAACTAGGTCTAACATAGGAGTTAAGCACAAAATGTATGCAATAATTAATTTTAATTCGACAACCGCTTTTTTTGTCACTGACGTCCGATTTCGAACAAATCTTAATGGAAGTAGGTATTTTTTTACTTATTCATAGAAAAAAACTGCCAGAATTATACTTGATTTAATTAAATTACTCATTTATATTATATAGACTTATGAGTCATCCCGTTATTTAATATATTAATAGTACTTGGTTAAAAAAGAAAATTTACAAGATATAGTTGTACAACAATTGACATAGACTCGGTGGCGCTGGCTTATGATGTCTTACATTTATTAAAACACATTAATTTTTATTCAAAGATAATTCTATGTAATTCAACACCTTTACTACAAGTTAACAGTCATCGAAACTTAAAACCGATGGTAACTAAATTCTCATTCATAAAACTCGCGTGAGTCATCAACATGAGTAAATGAATGAAAAAAATGTGTTTCGACTTCCGTCTTATTTTTAAGAAGACTCGTAATAGGGTATTGTATTGTGTTATTAATTTTTATATACACATTCTAGCTGTTAGTTTACAAGTTAAGCAGATTTAATCAATGCATTAAACATGTACAGCTTCGTTAGCTAGGTGATGAGCTCAAGGTGCTGTTAGCGTTTTGTTAGAACCATCGACATATACTAATGGAAATGCCTTAGAGATGAGCATTGTGGCACTTCGAAAGAAAGAGAGGAAAATAAGTTTCGGTCTATCTTTATCTCTCTCAAATTTATATGCGGTGCTTGTCATGAAAACTGGAGGACATCTATGAGGAAAGAGATAGTGCTAGACCGAAAGCATAGGCCATCTCTCTCACTCTTTTCAAAACAAAAAAATATTGCAGATTATACGCGTACGGCATGTCCATTAGTATACGTCGATGGTTAGAACAGTGTTTAGTAAGAATAGGCATAGTATTAGATACTTTTGACATTATTATCTCACCTTTCCGGGAAACTGAATGGAATCGTAGAGAAAAAATAACATAGAATTATATATAAGCAATATATTTTATAATACAAAAGTTAATAAGTTCTTTTTTAATTAAACTTACCAATTGATAGAAGCGTTTTTCAGCTGGATTTGCCATTGTTAGTCTTCAACATGCATTAGTTAGCACGCTGAAATGAGATTATTAGGGATGGTTTACATTAATGACATATTTTTATTAGTGGGCTCTCAATATTATTAAATTAGAAAATGGACAAATGAATTAAAATTAAGGATTATGTGTTATTGATTATATAACGATTTGAGAGACGAATGCATAACATAGTATTGAAAATTTGAATTCGTACCATAAGTTCGCATGATAAAAAAATACGGAACCTTTTCATATTAAATAAATAATTTTAAATATCCTCAAATATGATTATCGACTATTTTAAGAACGAAAACCATGAAACGGTATGTATTTAGGCAAACATGTGGTAAAGATTCATACAAAACAAATTCTTTGAAAAGCAAGTGGAATGAAGAATGCGATGTTTTATAAATGAAATTCAATCATCATGCTTCTCTTAATATGTATCGTGCGATCACAAACATATGTTACAGGCAATATTCGATATTAAAAAGAACTCAACTTGCTGTGTATGTTTTTATATCACCGAAACTAAAATACAGGTTTTGGTGGGAATTATTTGTACGTCGGTTCATTTTGCAAGCTAAATCAACTAAAGTTATGTTTGGTTAGAAAAAAAATAGCAAATATGTCTTATTTACAATAAAAATGTGAATACTTTTAAGGATACAATTAAGGCATTTGTTACGATCTTTTATGACTCGACGATATAGTACCTGAAACAAAAGAATATAAGTATAATATATAAAAAGAAATATTACATAAGTACTCAAACAAAAGTCATAGGTCATTGATAATTTTTTATCCAAACGAAAGATCAGACGTACATACTTTTTATAATACAAATATTTATATCGCAATACAGGAACATTTAATTTCTAAGCTATCTTTATCAACACTTTAGTCTAAACTACCATCGTCGTTAAAAAGTTAATTCAATATATACGATTTGTTTAAAGTCAGTGGTGGCCTAGTGGTTAAAAGGCCTGTCTCTCACGCACGAGGACGCGGGTTCGATCCTGGCCCTGACCAATACCAATGTGATTTTTCCGAGACATATGTACTTTGTAAGAGTATTTAGACATCACTAATTATTACAGTCCAAAAGAGGGTTGATGTCAGGCAGGCGGCCGGTCGTAAAAACAATTAGCCAAAACTATTCACAACATGTAAGGCAGACCCTGGCTAAATCTGGGAAATTGCCAGGTAGAAGAAGATACGATTTGTCTTACGTTTATCACTCAATGAGCTATATTAATACTAGTGTGAGAAGTTTTATGAATAAAGTACTAGGAACTAAGCATACGTAAAAATGGAAACAGCATTTATGTCAAGGCTGACAATAGCAACACAATATGGACTCCGGACGAAGTGTTGAATGTAACATTTCCCACTAAAACTACGTTTTATGAAAGGCTTTAAACAATAAGCACTATCCGGTCATAATAATGTGTTTGATACGGTGGATAAATTGTCACTATACTATATTCATACGAAATACACAAATAGTTATTGTAAGTAAACAAAGGCAGACCCTGGCTGAAGCTGGGATAATTGCCAGGAAGAAGAAGTTATTGTATTTAAAGATATTACAATAAAATACTGGACATAAATAGCTTAGATCAATTTATTATGGTTTTTAACTTATAAGATTTTTGAGAAAAATAGATAGGTTGTTTTATATTGTTATACTTATATCGTTTTACGTTGAATTATCAAAATTATATATTTGCTACATATTCCCAAAAAAAAAACTAATTGTTATTAAAGATACATTTTTAATTCCAACAAATTAAGATAGAGTTTTTACAGCTATGTTCATACTTTTGAGTAAGTGTTCGAAATTAAAGTTGATTACATAGAATTAACAAATCACTAACAAGAGTCGGGACACGATAGTTAAGTTGGCTAAGTAACTGGAACGCGTTATCCGGAGTTAGCAGGTTCGAATCCTAGTACTGTCGTTGAAGTTTTATTCTATACTTTATACTTGATTAAAGTAAATTGAATTATCAAATTAGTGACCAAATATAAAACTTTATTATATTGAGAAGTTTCTGTACTAATCAATTTAAAAACACCTCTAATAGTTTTAATAAATACACATGTTTAAGGAACGGTACAGAAATACACGAAATAAACTAACTTGATGTTTATTTATGTCTCGTCACCCCACATTGAAGTAGGGTGGCGGGTGAAGTCATAAACTTTATGTGATCCTAAGAGAAGACAGTACGGAGATTTAGTTACATTTATAGATTTTATTTAAAAAAGTTTCAAAGTCTTTGGATTTTAATTAAATTTCCTCTAGTTTAGAGATTGATTAGAAAAAAACAATTGTTTTATTTAACACTATTTTTGAGCGCTATCTTTTACACAAAAGGTAAACAATTTTTGTTTTTTTTTTTTAATAAAAAAAAGTAAAAGAAAATTTGGATAAAAATTTAATGACTTAGTAACACATGGATGCACATTTTTGTTACACTTAAAAGCCATCCCGTTCTAATGCAAAGATGAATCTAAATTCACTACGTGTAAATGAATTAATATTAATATCGAAGATTTCTACTACATTGATGTGGTAGTAGTATAGAATAATTTAAAAACCAATGATTTTATTTAAATTTGAAGCAAAAGATCATTTAAAAAACACCTCGCAACTAGGATACAGGTCTTCTCAAATATATCGTCAATTGAATCCATGGCAAATTAAAATATTGGCTTACGTATTAAAATACTAGCTTTCCGCCCGCAGCTTCGCCGCGTGGAGTTCGGTTATATCGCGTTTCCAAGAGAACCTTTCAAAAGTCTGGGATAAAAACTATCCTATGTTCTTTCTCAAGGTCAACTCTATCTCTGTACCGAATTTCATTAAAATCAGTTCAGTGGTTTAGGCGTGAAAGCGTAGCAGACAGACAGACAGACAGACAGACAGACAGACAGACAGACAGAGTTACTTTCGCATTTATAATATTAGTAGGGATATCCCTTTTAATTAATTAACGGGAAAATGTGCGTGTTCAGTTTAAACGAGGAAACTTGTGGTTAGTATACAGA